TATATTGTTTACCCTTTTAATTCATGTTGATTTTTTATATATTTTGCTTGAGCACGCATAGAAGTAGCCTACCTGGCCTGTGCGCAAATGTAGGGCAATAGGCCTAAAAGTTACCATTTGGTCATGTCTGATCGTATTTCTGATTAACTCACCAACTCTTGAGCTGCGCAGCTTCTCAAAGTATTTTTTCATCCCCTCACACAGAAAGTCAACAGTGTTTTACAACCATTGCGAATATTTCCTCACTGTATTTGAAAAATATTTCCAACACTCTCCTTCTTAATAGGCCTAACCCTCTAGGCACACACTGTTTGAGTCAACATTGTTTAACATATTGTACAAATTTCAATTCGTACAATATGTTATGAATTTGCAAAATGTATGATATGTTACGAATTCCAATTTGTCGTGGCTAACACTAACGTTAGCTAGGCTAGGGATTAGGGTCTAAGGTTAGGGTTAGCTAACATGCTAAGTATTTGCAAAGTATCTAAAAAGTAGTAAGCAGTGGCAAAATTAGCTAAATTGCTAAAGTTGTCCGTGATGAGATTTGAACATGTAACCTTTGGGTTGCTTGATGTTTGCGTTATACGCCCACCCATTCACCGCATTCACCGCGACCAACTACCCTCTTTTAGTTTTTTGCTTTAAGTAACCTGTCTTATGTAACCAAACTTAACATATCATACTAATTTGAGTGTCTCAGATTTACGTCTACTATGTTACGTCTATGAAACCAGGCTGTTTTATAAGGCTATTTTCTTCTTCAAAATATAATTTCCGATCTGTTCCATTTTTTTTTCACACAGATCCGGGGTCCATGGCCAACGAGTGTGAGCCGACATGGGATCTGACAGTCAGCTACAGAATTTTGGATCCGACCCAGTTGGATACCGGGTCGGTTCTCGGGTAATCGGGTTTGTATATATTCGTGAAGACCTCTCCTCCACATTTTACCTTTATTCACACTGCTCCATCGAAAATATTGAAATACTGCTAGTTTTCCAGGAAAACTGTCCTTTTTGTCCTCATGCTAGCTAGCAGTTGGCACTGCAGCCATTATAATAATAATAATATGCCATTTAGCAGACGCTTTTATCCAAAGCGACTTACAATCATGCGTGCATACATTTTTACGTACGGGTGGTCCCGGGGATCGAACCCACTCCCTTGGCGTTCAAGCGCCGTGCTCTACCAGCTGACCTACAGAGGACCACATTATGGAATGGTACGTCACATTGAACAACAAAGGAGCTGATTGGCTGGCACTGCCATTCCAAAATGGCTGTGGTGGCTACTGCTAGCTAGCATGAGAACGAAAAGGGCAGTTTTCCAGGAAAACTAGTAGTATTTCAATCTTTTCGATGGAGCAGTGTGGATAAAGGTAACATTTGGAGTACAGTGGCATATCCATCCCTGCATTGAGGTATGTTTTCCGACCCATATCTCGCGCCGGCTCCACGGTGTCTTAATGTAACCATGATTGCGTTCCGACCCCAGTGCAGCTCAGGGTAAACAAGAGTAACGGTAGGGTTGATATCTTTGTGAAGACCTCTACTACAATTTTGACCTTTATCCACAGTTCCATCGATAAGGGCGGCAGGTAGTTTAGTGGTTAGAGTGTTGGGCCAGTAACCGAAAGGTTGCTCATTTGAATACCCGAGCCGACAAGGTGAAAAATCTGTTGATGTGCCCTTGAGCAAGGCAATTAACCCTAATTTGCTCCATTGGCCCCGTACTACTATGTCTGACCCTGTAAAACAACACATTTCACTGCACCTATCCAGTGTATGTGACAATAAAAATTGTTGTAGAAGGGATGTAATCCATTACAATCCTGATCACACATTACATTATGCTTATATTTTCATATCCACAATACATAACCACAGCACAACGTATGAGCTAATATTGACTTATATGGGGGAAAGCATTGGAGCAAATGTCTACAGTTGCAGTTACTCATTTCTGACATAATAATGAATAATTGTCTTTGGATGATTAATTAATACAATTGCACAATCTATTATGCAAATAGGAAACATTAAAGATGCATGATGCTTATTGCCGAAATGCCCCCAATCCACCCTACATGGGTATTAACGGATGCAAATGCAAAAGGAAGTCCAAATCAATCTATTCTTATACACTCTCCAATCATACTGTGATTCACATGAATACATGTTATGCGAGGGAGGGTAAGGAGTGGGCCTCATATGAAATGCAAAATTCAGAGGAGATTCACACGTAAAATATTACAACTAATTAGCCCTGGCTAAATTCACCCTGTACTATCTGAAAGGGAAAGTCACATTCAATCAACATGTTTTTGACAAAGTACCACGAGTTACAATGTTTAGAAGATTGTAGAAAGTAATGTAATAGAAAAAGCTTACATGACTCCCAATCCTGTATGAGAGAGAATAATATATGTTCTCGCAACACAATTCTATCTGAACATTCTACTGTATAGCATTGTGTAGGGTTGCAAAATTCTAGTAACTTTCTCAAAATTCCCCGGTTTCCCGGAATCAGGAATAAACAGGAAATCCGGGAATCCTCCAACCTGGGAATTTCGGCATAGTTGCCTCCTGACACCACCGGTAATCCCTGTATATAGCCTCCCTGTTATTTTATTGTGTTACTGTTTTTTACTTTAGTTTATTTAGCAAATAGTTTCTCACTCTGCACTGTTCGTTAAGGGCTTGTAAGTAAGTATTTCACGGTAAGGTTGTATTCGGCGCATGTGACAAATACATTTCATATATATATATATATATATATACACATACACACACACACATACTGTATATACATTATTAGAAAATACCAGATTTAGAATGTATGATTCATATTTTACATTATAAGACAATGGCTTGACACTGGCATAATCATTAGAAACGCTGGTTGCTGATTTATATTTTAATCTATATTTCCGGCCTCTGAAGTTGTAGGTAATTAGGACGTTCCAGGTAATATATTAATTTTTTACAGTTTGAGCCAGCTAGTTGCGACTAGCACAGATGGCATGACTTTGTAGAAGGTATCCATTTTTATTCCCCTGGCAAGTTTCCACAACAAAGCCAGATGCTTCTTCCAGGCATGGTAGGCAACAATCGGAAAATGTAAAAGATCCATCACTTGTCTGACATTTGCAGTCCTTCACCTCCCATATGAAACAGTGGTGGGTCACGCTCTTAGGCTACTCGATGACTGTCACATCTCATTATGGCAGTCAACATTTGAAGTTTCTCAACAACTTTTTTTTATTTTTACAGTCGAGTCCTGGAAGCATTGGATACCCTTTGCTGAGTTCTAAACACACATTTGGGAAAGCAACCGACTTAATATCTGATCTTTAATTAATCAATTTTTGCCCAAGGAGTTGTCGGCATGATTTCAAAGCAGATTGAATCAGCCTGTTGGTTGACTTGATCAAGAAATGAAACAGAAAAGTGTCAACCTCAAGTGAACTTTCTAACAGATGGGATCGACTCCTTGAAACCAAAGGTCATTATTTGAAGCTCACTCTTCTGACTGGAGGGAATCACTGAAGCTAACACTAATCAAGCCATAATTGCTCAATACATTATTCAAAGGCCTTATTACGGTTTGTCATTTCCAAGATGGCTGGGTAATATATCGCTGCCCGCCTGAAATATGCTTTGTAATACATCATTAGCAGAAAATCAGAGTGATGGCTTTCCTTTCTTTGCCGTAGCCTTTGTGACTGGGACAGTTACAGATAGTCAATCTTTTTTTATGAAACACTTTGAACATTACATGACCTTTACGCAACAGCTCAGAAACGGACAGGTTGATAAGTAACAGACGCAGTATGTCAAACAAATGTCAACATTTAAGGCAGATCCTCCTGCATGGATTGCCCTTAGGCCCCCAGGGGAATTACTAATCAATGGGTTAGGACCGTCGCTGATATCAATACATGACAACTGACAATACGATTCACCTAACAGACTAAAGGACAGCAATCCGTCTCTCTCCAACACGTTGCTTTGCAAAGGTACTGGTCAGTTGTCGAATCATGCTCCTGTCCCCCCTCCTCACTCTTTCCTAACAGGGATTTACAGCTGTGAATAGCGCTGATGGTCTGCTAGAGAGAGAGGTCTGCATTAATTATCCCCTCCTCTCATTGCCAACAGTGACACGGACTCCGCCGTGAGAGTCAGCTGTCAATTACCACAGGCGTTACCAGTGGCGTTACCAGTGGTCCTCTGTAGCTCAGCTGGTAGAGCACGGCGCTTGTAACGCCAAGGTAGTGGGTTTGATCCCCGGGACCACCCATACACAAAAATGTATGCACGCATGACTGTAAGTCGCTTTGGATAAAAGCGTCTGCTAAATGGCATATTATTATTATTATTATTATTATAAATTAGATCCAGACCAAGACCTCAACCACAATTAAAGCATGGACTCTCCAGGAGAGCATCTAAAAAGAAGAGGACACAGTTCACCAAAAACCCAATTACGAGCTTGTGAAGGTAGCTACCAACAGCGAGAGATCTTTTGAAAACCAAGACGCTTGGAGTCACCTTTGCACTCCTCTCGAAATATGTCAGTCAAGGTTAGACGAGAATAGGGGAATGAGAAACTTTCAATTAGGTGAATGGAATTAGAAACGTTTGGTTTATTACACTGAAAAAAACTAGAAAATAAAAAAGAACCAGCCCAGTGGATATGCACAGGGCAACGACACAGAACATGCAGTTTCACGTCCAAAACCATTTAATTAGGATTAAATGATATAAAAATAGACCATTTACAAAATGTCTACTACAGAGACAGAACCAGTGGCATCCAAAACACACACTTTCACAAACTCAAAATAGTGTAACTATTTTTAAGATATATTTTTTTCAAGAACAATTTTTTTTAAACATTGTACAATCTAAAAAAATAACAATAATAGAAACATATATTTCACAGTTGAAGGGAGAGAGCACATGACATGCAGTCTTTGGTGCAGAAAACATTCGCTACACGGTAGTTTCGTGTTTCCATAGGCCAGTTTTTATGTTGGCCGAGCCCGAGCTCTCTGTATTGATTATGGGCACGATCTGCCCATTGTTTTTGAGCGTGCCGTTTTGTGTAGCCAGGTTGAGCCCGTACGACTTGGGCTGGCCATCCACCAGTTCTGTGTTATTGGGCTGCTTTATGCTACTACTGTCTTTACTCGTAACGGAAGCAGAAGTCCCAACCCCCTCACCTTCTCCTCCTTCTCCACCGGTTCCTACTGTTATTCCTACACTTCCACTTCCAACTACTCCGATAGCCCCGTTGCCCAGGGCGCTAGTGCTGCCCCCTCCCTTGTCAGCGTAGCGCGAGCGTCGGGGCAGGGACGTGCTGGCGTCGCTGCTGTCCTGTTGCATCTGGCTCTGGTGGCGCTCCCTGTAAGCCATGTAGGCTGCCCGTCGGCTGCACCGCGCCTGCTGACTGTCGTGGTGTTCGTGGCGATGCCGCCTGTGGGGGGCGCTCTGCAAGCTGCCATCCACGCTGGTGGGTACGTCATATGCGTACTCACGCAGCACCGTGAGTCGGCTGGCCCGGTGGGCCCGCGCCCTGTTCTTGTGATGCCGGCCCGCGTGTCCGTTGGCGGCGGGATTGTTGTTGTTGTTGACAGGCCGGAACTGCACCTCCACGGGCGCCACGTGCATCTTGATCTCGTTGTCCACCGAGTGCTCTGTCAGGCTGTTGTCCAGCAAGGCTGCCCCATTGGCGGGCAGGGGTAGTAGGGGCAAGGATTTGTTCTGCGCTGCCTCTGCATGCAGATTGGTCAGTTTACTTCCCTGGGTGGAGTTTCGCACACTGGGGCCACTCTTATTGGTGCAGGATGACTCTGCGCTGCTGTGGGCGCACTTGGCCGCATCGCCATTGCCCCCACCAACCGACCCAGCCGCGGACGCCGTGGACGCCCCCGGCAGCGGCAGCAGGGCGTCCTCCTGCGCAGAGTAGGCCCGTCTCTCGGGGCAACAGGCCTGGGCCCAGTGGCGCCTCATGTCCTGGCGGTTGACGCAGTGATGCGCGATCAAAAAGCCACCCAGAGCCAGCGCCACCATGCCAAACAGGCAGGAGAACACCAGGTCAGCCGGCCTCTCCTGGGACACGGCCATGGCGCCAAACACCCACAGTGCTGCGTAGAGCCCCAGAGCCGCAGCCACTCCCAGGAGCTGCAGCGCGAACGTATGCTCGTTCTCCAGTGCTGACAGGGACATGGCATGGGGAGCCGACACCGTGGAGGACAAGGCGTCGTGGGGCTGGAGGTGGAGGAGGGCGGCCGGGACGTCTCCGGCATCGCTGCCCGCTACCGCCAGCCGCTGTTGCTCCTCGGCGGGTTCCTTGAGTTCATAGCGGCGCTCGGGGTGGCGTCGCAGCTGGAGGAGGATGCTAAGGAAGTACATGCAGTCCACGAAGACAATGAAGCCGACGGGGCCGTAGAAGGCCCCCAGGCTGGGCTCCCACGCCATCCAGCAACTGAGGAGAGACACAGAAGGGTAAGGCATCAGTACAAACATACAGTCAATATTTATGTAAATGTAGTACACACGCACAATATCATACACACAAATGTATTATGCAGATGTGTCGATATATCAGCTGCCTTCAGCAAAAACATACGTTGGCAATGAAGCCATAAGACACGTATGACATGACAACTCTTTGCCCGATGAGTCACTGGATGAGTCAAGTGTCAGCCATTCAAGTGGTCCACAAACCTTTTCAAAATGATAACAACTTCAACGTCGTTTCATGTTTGACTCAACTCTTATCTCATTAAATCAGGTAAAAACACACATGCACGCATTGAGTCTCTTTGTTTTAAACATCCTGCTTTTCCCATTCTCAGAGTATCTGTTCCGGAACATTCCACAGGGCGGATTCCATTAGTCTCAGTAGCTGCAAATTAATTAAACTCCAAAGACTTCAGACAGATACAGGACCAGATTTCCAAATTACAACCCAAACAGCTGCCACCATAAAGAGAGAGAGAAAGAAAGAGGGAGAGAAATAGAGAGAGGGAAAGAAAGAGCGAGAGAGAGACAGAAAGAGAGAAGAGAGAACAAGAACAGAGAGAGGGAAAAAGAGAAGAAAGAGATAGATAGACAGACTAGGAAAATGGCAGCAGACGTGAGGTGCCGAGACACGCTATAAATAGCGCTACCCAATCGGGCTCTCAGAACTTCACAGGGACTCAGAACTTTTCCTACACCCCCAAAATATTTGTTATTTACATAAAGCCACGCACACGCATTCTGGCCAGTCGATAACAAAAAGCGATTTCTCTTGGGTCTAGTTTTATATATACACAAAGCCTTCTGTCGATATAAAACATAACATAATTTCCATAAACACACACTGTAGTATAATAACTAATTGGTTTCCATACAATGTGACAGTAAACTGACACTACTTACTATGGTGCGTTGGTTTGGCTACCGTAGTTCTTGATGTTGGCGGCTGCGGTTATGCCACAGACGATGATCGGTATCCCTCCACCTATTAGGTAGAACCTGGTAGGAAAAGGTAGTGGGAAAAGAACTGAGTAGGACCTGCTTGGGATCAAATTGGTGGTGAGCTGGTTGCAGAGGTGGTATGTGTGATTCAGGCCTCTATACTGACACCATGTGGTGGGCATTAAACCAACACAACACAAAACTAACCAACCTCTGTCTCTCTCCACAAGTCACTGAAATAAGAGAAACCTAATAACATAATAGTATTAGCAGCTCCTTGTAAAGGGAGATAAATGCAAAATGTGATTGTACAGCATTTCAACTGATCATCGTCCACACACTAAACAGTTAGTCTGACTCGCTATAATGACCAAGCCTTTTCATACTGTGCATTGTGGAAACTGTAGTATTTTACCTCAGCATGGGTCGTGGAGGGGGCGGGGGCTCGTCCAGCTCTTCGTAGCGCTTGGCCTTGCGGGTCACCTGCTTGTAGATGTTCCGTGCCGTCACGCCCACCCACAGAGCTGTGGCCAGGGTCGAGTAGTGCAGAACGATGCCCACCTGAAAGAAATCACCACCAAGCTCAGTCACGATCAAGATCCCACTTTAAACAAACAACTTCATTCTGAAAATGTTCAGTGCGCAAAAATGGTATGAGTGTAATAAGTTTCATGATTTTATGAAAAAGTTCAAGATTTGTTGACATATTGCCTGGACTATAGAAAGGCTTTATAGAGCACTCATAAATTCTACATAAGCACTACATAGATGCTTCAATTATGAGCAAAATACTACGCATTCTGAAAACTCACTTCATAAAATGTTATTGTACCAATTGTCAGTTTGTAAAATTCCTTGACAAAGTAGAGACTAGTTGTAGGATATCCTTTATTCCAGGTGGAAAACCGTTCTTTTCCAAGATGTTCTCTACCAGCCGGGCCCTTTGTGTTCAGGACAATGAATAAATGAAAGAAGCCAGTGCAGATCAGCAGGGGGTGCTACACTGCCTTCAGCTGAAGTACAAATCTATGCTTCAGAGAAATAAGACTGAGTCCCGTTTCTCCACCCTTCTCCCAAAGTGTGCACTTCCACAATGATGGAAACGGCAAGTGTGCAAGTGTACACTTTGGGAGAAGGGTGGAGAAACGGGACCCAGCCAAATGTACCTCCTCCACAACATCTTGAGATCCCCATATAATTGTGAGATGCTTTTAGCAAGGGAAGGCAGGTTTGGCAGTCTGGCTGTCAGCCTGGTAGGCAGATAGGCTGGAACACCAGGGGGTTATGGTGGGGGGTTGGGGGGTAGGGGGGGGGGGGGGGGGGGGGGGGGGATACTCACAGCTTGGCACACGCTGGCGTAGCGCGTCTGGTTGATGCCAACCACGAAGACGCCGCAGGTGAGGAAGATGTGGAGGCAGAGGTTCACAAGCATGTGCCAGAACTTACGGCTGATCCGGACAGACCTGGACACGCAACCACATAGAAATAACATAGTGAGAATAATATCAGGGAATAAAATATAATGTCTATTCGTATGTTTGATTCACTCAAATTCTGTTGCTATTTTGAACGGGTTTGGAGTGGTAGAGATGTGCTTGTGGAGGGGTGAAAATATAAGTGGAGACTGGACAGTATTGGTTCCCAAACTTCCTTGCATTGTGACCCAACCAATAAGAAACATTCTGGCCTCAAATCTTATGCTGCGACCTGAAAGCGAGTCACAGTCCACCATTTGGTAATATACACTGTATTAGATACAGTACTAATAGTAAGATGTGTACTTGGTATCTTACGCACTTGGTATAAACTGTTTTAGATTCTACTAGCAGATAGAGCTGTTACCTGTGGTGGTATATGTAGCTGATGATGATGGCCAGTAGACAGAGCAGCAGGACGATAGCTGTGGCGTAGATGACTGGGTGGAGAGGCTCAATGCTGGGAGAGAAATACTCCACTCCAGTAAGATCCTGTGGGATACACACATCAAATGTTAGAATGTCATCACTTTAGACAATGTGTCATACAATAACAAATTAACCCTGAAGAAAAGGTACGCGCCAATTTCGTCAACTCAGGAGATTGTCATGTGGTTGAGCCATAACTAAACAGGTAGTGTTTATAAAGCGTGTGAACTGAAAGAGATGTTGAGCTCTTGTCTTGAAAAGGCTAATGTCTCAAAAAAAAGTATGGTTGTCACGATATCAGTATCCTACTACTCAGAAGTATCATGGCAAGAAAATAAAACAAGAAGCGTACTGCATTTACTGAGGAAATTAGCCCTAATGTTGGAAACAAACAACCTTATGTTGTCACCCATAGTCACATTTGTTCATTGAGTTTAAAGGCCATTAAACCCCTGGCCACCCACCATGAGCACGGCGTAGTTGCTGAGCGAGTCACAGGAGAGCGTGGTGAAGTTGTCGTGGTGCCGCAGGAGACGGCAGCCCTCGCTCTGCCAGCCACCCTGCCCGCCCAGCAGGCTGAAGTTCCAACAGGCGGGCACGGCGTCCGAGCCGTGGGCAAACCTCCGCAGCGTGGCGTTCACCGGGACACGCAGTCCGCGCAGCTGGAAACCCTCTGACCAATCAGAGAGGGAAAGAGAGCGAGAGAGAGAGATGAGGAGAGAGAAAGAGACCGAGAGGTGTTAGTCTTGTCGGTCAAATCATGTTCTGGTGCTTGTATTTATTGATATTTTTTTAGCTACATTTTCTAAAATCCACTGTAAGACAAAAGATATTTACATTTCACACATAACTGATGGAGAATAAAATGTCTTCACACATTTTTACTACACACAACTCAACTTTTTAAGCTTTCTTGTACAATATAAAATGTCAAATTACAGATGGATCCCTAAATCAAAAGTCTTTGCAAGCTTTAATCATAATCTATTAATTAAAACTACATTTATGTTGCCCAAACTGCAAAATTCACTCTTAAAACAAGTCACAACAATATCTTGAACAAAACCATCTAATAGTCTACTGGTACAGTGGGGTCCATGTCAGACTCACCTATCTTGGCCAGGAGCACGGGGGTGGCCACATTCCTCCTCTTCCCCCCGTCAGCCAGCAGGGTGGAGTTGCCCGTGGAGGGGAAAGAGCTTGCCGTTGCGGAAGGCCAGCAGGTGAAGCTTGTAGACGTTGTCGTCGGCCTGGCCCAGGTACTGAGAGAACAAAGATGGGGGGAGCTGCAGGGACGCCTCCACTATGGTGTTCTAGGGAGAGACAAATATTATTTGATTTGATTTATTCTTTATTTAGTCCCATAGAGATAAAAAGTATGATTGAGTGTACAGCATAATGTGGGATTCTTGTTAACGTTTTAGTCTACAGTTCATTGTTTACTTGGCATTTAGTTAGAAAAGACATGGTTAGATAATACATGGTTGTATGGTAAGCTGTCCTTAGGTTAGTGCTATGTGTGAACCTCACAAGACAACACACCTCGTTTTGAGAAAACATTTGAAGGGGCAATGATGGTGATATCTTAAATGAATGATGCATAATTTTCAGTCTACATACAGTGGGGAAAAAAAGTATTTAGTCAGCCACCAATTGTGCAAGTTCTCCCACTTAAAAAGATGAGAGAGGCCTGTAATTTTCATCATAGGTACACGTCAACTATGACAGACAAAATGAGAAGTTTTTTTCCGGAAAATCACATTGTAGGATTTTTTATGAATTTATTTGCAAATTATGGTGGAAAATAAGTATTTGGTCAATAACAAAAGTTTCTCAATACTTTGTTATATACCCTATATACACAGGTCAAATGTTTTCTGTAAGTCTTCACAAGGTTTTCACACACTGTTGCTGGTATTTTGGCCCATTCCTCCATGCAGATCTCCTCTAGAGCAGTGATGTTTTGGGGCTGTCGCTGGGCAACACGGACTGTCAACTCCCTCCAAAGATTTTCTATGGGGTTGAGATCTGGAGACTGGCTAGGCCACTCCAGGACCTTGAAATGCTTCTTACGAAGCCACTCCTTCGTTGCCCGAGCGGTGTGTTTGGGATCATTGTCATGCTGAAAGACCCAGCCACGTTTCATCTTCAAAACCCTTGCTGATGGAAGGAGGTTTTCACTCAAAATCTCACGATACATGGGCCCATTCATTCTTTCCTTTACACGGATCAGTCGTCCTGGTCCCTTTGCAGAAAAACAGCCCCAAAGCATGATGTTTCCACCCCCATGCTTCACAGTAGGTATGGTGTTCTTTGGATGCAACTCAGCATTCTTTGTCCTCCAAACACGACGAGTTGAGTTTTTACCAAAAAGTTCTATTTTGGTTTCATCTGACCATATGACATTCTCCCAATCCTCTTCTGGATCATCCAAATGCACTCTAGCAAACTTCAGACGGGCCTGGACATGTACTGGCTTAAGCAGGGGGACACGTCTGGCACTGCAGGATTTGAGACCCTGGCGGCGTAGTGTGTTACTGATGGTAGGCTTTGTTACTTTGGTCCCAGCTCTCTGCAGGTCATTCACTAGGTCCCCCTGTGTGGTTCTGGGATTTTTGCTCACCGTTCTTGTGATCATTTTGACCCCACGGGGTGAGATCTTGTGTGGAGCCCCAGATCGAGGGAGTTTATCAGTGGTCTTGTATGTCTTCCATTTCCTAATAATTGCTCCCACAGTTGATTTCTTCAAACCAAGCTGCTTACCTATTGCAGATTCAGTCTTCCCAGCCTGGTGCAGGTCTACAATTTTGTTTCTGGTGTCCTTTGACCGCTCTTTGGTCTTGGCCATAGTGGAGTTTGGAGTGTGACTGTTTGAGGTTGTGGACAGGTGTCTTTTATACTGATAACAAGTTCAAACAGGTGCCATTAATACAGGTAACGAGTGGAGGACAGAGGAGCCTCTTAAAGAAGAAGTTACAGGTCTGTGAGAGCCAGAAATCTTGCTTGTTTGTAGGCGACCAAATACTTATTTTCCACCATAATTTGCAAATAAATCCATTAAAAATCCTACAATGTGATTTTCTGGATTTTTTTTCCTCAATTTGTCTGTCATAGTTGACGTGTACCTATGATGAAAATTACAGGCCTCTCTCATCTTTTTAAGTGGGAGAACTTGCACAATTGGTGGCTGACTAAATACTTTTTTTCCCCACTGTATTGTTAAGGCTAATGGGACCTGTTTCAATGACCATGACCGCTTCTGCTTGCATTCCTGGATACTGACCTTAAGAGCGAGGCTGGACAGGGTGCTGGTGACGTTACACTTGAAGCTGAGCTGGCGGTCAGGGTTGCCGTCCAGGTCTATGCGTGGGCCCAGGTCTCGGAGAGCCATGCGTTCAGGCATCAGCTTCTGGAACAGTGTGCAGGTCATGCCGTTGAAGCTGCTCGCCTTGATGGCGTGGGCCTCCAGGGCGATGTTATGGGAATTCTGGGAACGAATTATAGGAATAAGAGAAATAAAAATACACGAGGTCAAATAAACAACAATAAGATCAGATGTGCTTTTATATTCCGATAATGTAACACGCATACAAACGCTGTCTCCCAATGACATCAATGCATTTATGCCCCGATGCAGTTTAGGATTCGGTAATATGATCTCATAATTTGCTGTGATCTTACGGTGGAGTAGGCCTGGGTTCCGCTGGCTAGGCGGTGTACAGCGATCCTCTGGAGACACTCCACGATGCGGGAGCAGGCCCTGGCCTCGCGCTGAGCCATCCCCAGCACCCGCTCATCAGCATGCATCAGATTACTGGAGATGTCCACCATCACGTCCCCCAACTGAGACAGAGAGAGAGAGAACAGGGTTAACAGACACACCAAGACACCACAGAACGACACACAGTTACCTGCACATACACACAGGGCCACACACAGGCACACGCATACACCAGCCATTTCAATCGAAACAATGGAGTGCTTTGTTTTCTTCTAACACTCAACGTCGTCTTTATTATCATCACTGTGGAAATACCTGAATTTGAGCCTTCGGTTCAGCGCTATCTCCATGAGTGCTGACGGAGTGCACAGGTCTCAACCAGGTGCAACATACAAAGCCTTCCCCAATGAGCTCAAACTCAAAATGTTGTTTTTATTATAATAACTGTAGAAATAACCGGATTTGAGCCTTCGGTTCCTCTCAGCGCTATCTCCATGAGTGCTGACGGAGTGCACAGGTCTCAACCAGGTGCAACATACAAAGCCTTCCCCAATGAGCTCAAACTCAAAATGTTGTTTTTATTATAATAACTGTGGAAATAACCGAATTTGAGCCTTCGGTTCCTCTCAGCGCTCATCATCTCCATGAGTGCTGATGGAGGGCACAGGGCTCTTGACCAGGTGCAACATTCAAAACCTTCCCCAATGAGCACAAACTGCCAGGTGTGAAACCCAACAGACAAAGAAACCTGACCCGGCCTTGCTTTGCAATCCCCCACAGCTCGACAGGAAAAATCCCCCATTCCAGATCCTATCTTATTCACTTTCATTCCGATTCCTCTGTGGATTTAAACAGGACAGGGTTGCTTTGTATCAACTATGAGGAGCATAGTAACATAAAGGGTCCAAATATCAGCAGTAAGCTGGAGATGCATACAGTGTGTGGTGTGTTTACACCTCTGTCACTTGCACTCACAGTAAACATACACATACAAATACTACTACCTAGCTCTACTTATAACTTTATTTTGGTTCTGACCCTATTTCCTCTCATTACACCTATGCCTGAAGTCGTGCACGTGGGTGTTACTGTACTCTCAGAGTGTGTCTGCGTCTTTATATGAACATCTTATTCATCCATAAAGGAGGTACAAGGTGGGACTGGGAGACTGAAGCGGGACTCACCTCCTTGTATTTCTCGGCAAACTTGCCAAACTTCTCGATCATCTCGGCCACGAAGATGACGTCCATCTTGTCTGAGAAGTTGGCGGCCTCAAATGTGTAGACGAGCAGCTGGCGGGCCGTGATCACCGCGTTGGTCATGTTCAGAGGCATCTAGAACAGACAGACAGACAGACAGACAGACAGACAGACAGACAGACAGACAGACAGACAGACAGATTTAGAAGGACTGTACACAAGGTGAAAGCTTCAAAACAACGCTTGAGTGTAGGAGGACAAAAATAATGGCAAAAGAAAGAGAGAAATAACAAATGAAGAGGGAAGACTGAAAATATGAAAACGAATGACAATTAGGAGGGAGATATACAATAAGTTGAAGAAAGAAAACAGACAGACAAAGAGAGAAAATCAAACATGGTCAGACAGAGTGTCATGGTCACCTGGTTGATGATGTAGAGGACACGGGTTACATCTTTCTGGTACTGGCAGCGGGAGTAGTCGTCCTCGGCCCACAGGCCCCCACGGTCACAACGCCGCCACGCACGCCGCTCCTCACCCACCGAGCCAGAGTAGATTCCCGCGCCCGACGCCAGCTTGTTGCAGAGCAGGTAGGCTGTGATGCCCGCTAGGGTACGAGGCCATCTGAGAGAGGGAAAGAGAGAGCATGAGTGAAGTCTTAGGCGGGTGGGTTTGCCACAATGTGGTGGCATGATTCACATGATGTGTTCCAGGAACATGTGATTATTCATCCACATCAGCGGTTTACTCTGCTCAACATCATCATTTAAAAAACTGTGGAGAGCTTTTGTTCCTGCCCAGTACTACTTATTTACTCAATGGATTATATGCTTTTGACAGTTACTCAACTGGGTCGTATTCATTAGTGCACACCGTGCCAAAACATACCAAAACAGTGTACAAATTAAGCTATTGGAAGTTCAGGTTAGTAAGGTTGGTGCCTAATGAATGCGACCCAGATATTACTACTAACAACAAGTCTAATATTCAGCCACTAGGTGGTGCCACAGAGCTGAGCTTGTTCCACAAAGAACTGTCTGGTACAAACTTGTTTACCTCAAAAAGTCCATTAAAATTAAACAAGTACCTGATTAAATAAGACAATAGATTGATATTAGATTAATATATTAGATTAATAAAATAGATTAATACAACTACAAACATTTACCTGAAACATTTCTCAGACAGATTACCGACTAATAGTAACCTAGTCTAGTGAAACATGTGATAGTGAAAGTATCACCCCCACACCTGAAGTCTCCCTTGTTGTTGGACACTCTGTCGGGTGGGCAGTACTTGGCGGAGCTCTCCAGAACCACAATGTGGACGGTGCGGGTGGTGTTCCCTCGGCTGGTCCTCACACGACACTCCCAGTTCCCAGTAGAAGCAGGCTGGATGTTGGAGATGGTCAACGCACTGAGTGAAGAACAGAGGGGAACAAGTAAATAAAATATTACTGCCAAAGACAGAAAGAGAGAGTAGACTGTTTCAACCATTAATTTCCAGTCCAAAAGTGGTGCCCCAGCTGGTCTCTTGCTGCCTATTGCTTCACTGATTTAAAGAGGGTTAGGTCACTTGTGCTGTGTGGAAACAATCAATCAAATTGTATTTACATAGCCATTTTTACAATAACATTCGTCATCCAGTGCTTGACAGTTACCTTGCCTTAACCTCCAAGCAGCAGCAGTGGTGAGGGAAAAACTCCCTGGAGTAAGAAACCTTGGGAGGAACCAGACTGTATTCATCTAAGGGTGCCTTTCTCCTTACCATGGTCTTCTATCTATCCACCCACCCGCCCGTACGCCCGCCCACCCAACAGTACCGTCCCCCTTACCTGGCGATGAGGGAGCAGTTCTGTACCATGCTCTTCTCGATGAAGATGCCCTGGGCTGCGTCGGGCTCCACCATGCGGCCGTCCTGGTACCACAGAACCTGCATGTCCTCCGCCACGAACGAGGCCTGGCACTGGAAGGGCAGGCTGTCGCCCTGGAACACGATCTGACGCTGGGACGGAGTCAGCTGGAAGGAAGGCAGTTCCAGGGGTGCATCTGGAGGGTGGGGGAGAATGGGGTTACATTTTAGTGCATTTGTGTAGACCTTTTTTCAAGTGTGTGTGTGCACATGAGTATGTATGTGCGAGTATGTGTGTGTCTCTAGGCTGCATGTCTGGGTAGGATTGGGTTAATTCAAGTAATTTGTTCACAAATTAATTATTCTCCTCAGGGGACCCCTTCAATAGTCAAATGTTGGTCCTATTTGTCACTCGGTCATGTGTCTCCACTTGTGAAAGATGTGCCACGTATTTCCTAACCCGTGCAGTGAAGAGTGCCAAACCGATAAGACAGGGCAAGCACAAACAAACGCTGCAGTGCTCCGTACTACTGGCCCTTCCTTTATCGCTTGTGCCATTGGACAACTCATATTCCCAAATACACCAGTAACTAAAGGACTATGCCCTCTATGCTGCACACCGCATCAAGCCATCTCTGAACTGAACACAAAATAACTGCACTATACTGCATTTTCTCTCAGTTCATCTCTCTGCATTTAGATACAGTATATTTGTATATACAGTGGGGGAAAAAAGTATTTAGTCAGCCACCAATTGTGCATGTTCTCCCACTTAAAAAGATGAGAGAGGCCTGTAATTTTCATCATAGGTACACGTCAACTATGACAGACAAATTGAGGGAAAAAAATCCAGAAAATCACATTGTAGGATTTTTTATGAATTTATTTGCAAATTATGGTGGAAAATAAGTATTTGGTCACCTACAAACAAGCAAGATTTCTGGCTCTCACAGACCTGTAACTTCTTCTTTAAGAGGCTCCTCTGTCCTCCACTCGTTACCTGTATTAATGGCACCTGTTTGAACTTGTTATCAGTATAAAAGACACCTGTCCACAACCTCAAACAGTCACACTCCAAACTCCACTATGGCCAAGACCAAAGAGCTGTCAAAGGACACCAGAAACAAAATTGTAGACCTGCACCAGGCTGGGAAGACTGAATCTGCAATAGGTAAGCAGCTTGGTTTGAAGAAATCAACTGTGGGAGCAATTATTAGGAAATGGAAGACATACAAGACCACTGATAATCTCCCTCGATCTGGGGCTCCACGCAAGATCTCACCCCGTGGGGTCAAAATGATCACAAGAACGGTGAGCAAAAATCCCAGAACCACACGGGGGGACCTAGTGAATGACCTGCAGAGAGCTGGGACCAAAGTAACAAAGCCTACCATCAGTAACACACTACGCCGCCAGGGACTCAAATCCTGCAGTGCTAGACGTGTCCCCCTGCTTAAGCCAGTACATGTCCAGGCCCGTCTGAAGTTTGCTAGAGTGCATCCAGAAGAGGATTGGGAGAATGTCATATGGTCAGATGAAACCAAAATAGAACTTTTTGGTAAAAACTCAACTCGTCGTGTTTGGAGGACAAAGAATGCTGAGTTGCATCCAAAGAACACCATACCTACTGTGAAGCATGGGAGTGAAAACATCATACTTTGGGGCTGTTTTTCTGCAAAGGGACCAGGACGACTGATCCGTGTAAAGGAAAGAATGAATGGGGCCATGTATCGTGAGATTTTGAGTGAAAACCTCCTTCCATCAGCAAGGGCATTGAAGATGAAACGTGGCTGGGTCTTTCAGCATGACAATGATCCCAAACACACCGCCCGGGCAACGAAGGAGTGGCTTCGTAAGAAGCATTTCAAGGTCCTGGAGTCTCCAGATCTCAACCCCATAGAAAATCTTTGGAGGGAGTTGAAAGTCCGTGTTGCCCAGCGACAGCCCCAAAACATCACTGCTCTAGAGGAGATCTGCATGGAGGAATGGGCCAAAATACCAGCAACAGTGTGTGAAAACCTTGTGAAGACTTACAGAAAACGTTTGACCTGTGTCATTGCCAACAAAGGGTATATAACAAAGTATTGAGAAACTTTTGTTATTGACCAAATACTTATTTTCCACCATAATTTGCAAATAAATTCATTACAAATCCTACAATGTGATTTTCTGGATTTTTTTTCCTCATTTTGTCTGTCATAGTTGACGTGTACCTATGATGAAAATTACAGGCCTCTCTCATCTTTTTAAGTGGGAGAACTTGCACAATTGGTGGCTGACTAAATACTTTTTTTCCCCACTGTATACTGTTTATTCTCTTATAGCTCTATGCTCACTCTACCTAGTTGTATATATAATGTATGTAAACAAACTCCGCTGTCTGTATTCTGTCTCTAAATGTAGTCGATCACTAGCAGCACCATATCACCAAGTACCTCTCTGAGTATGTATAAAGGTACCCTACTTGGCGAATTAATGTGATTCTGATTCTGAGTGCAGAACCAAATGATAGAGCGGTTGTACGTCCATCTTTACATCTATACTGTACAGCTAAAGTCGGAAGTTTACGTACACTTAGGTTGAAGTCATTAAAACTCGTTTTTCAACCACTCCACACATTTCTTGTTAACAAACTTTAGTTTTGGCAAGTCAGTTAGGACATCTACTTTGTGCATGACACAAGTAATTTTTCCAACAATTGTTTACAGACAGATTATTTCACTTATAATTCACTGTATCACAATTCCAGTGGGTCAGAAGTTTACATACACTAAGTTGACTGTGCCTTTAAACACATTGGAAAATTCCAGAAAATGATGTCATGGCTTTAGAAGCTTCTGATAGGCTAATTGACACCATTTGAGTCAATTGGAGGTGTACCTGTGGATGTATTTCAAAGCCTACCTTCAAACTCAGTGCCTCTTTGCTTGACATCATGGGAAAATCAAAAGAAATTAGCCAAGACCTCAGAAAACAAATTGTAGACCTCCACAAGTCTGGTTCATCCTTGGGAGCAATTTCCAAACGCCTGAAGGTACCACGTTCATCTGTACAAACAATAGTACGCAAGTATAAACACCATGGGACCACGCAGCCGTCATACCGCTCAGGAAGGAGACGCGTTCTGTCTCCTAGAGATGAACGTACTTTGGTGAGAAAAGTGCAAATCAATCCCAGAACAACAGCAAAGGACCGTGTGAATATGCTGGAGGAAACGGGTACAAAAGTATCTATATCCACAGTAAAACGAGTCCTATATCGACATAACCTGAAAGGCCACTCAGCAAGGAAGAAGCCACTGCTCTAAAACCGCCATAAAAAAGTCAGACTACGGTTTGCAACTGCAGATGGGGACAAAGATCGTACTTTTTGGAGAAATGTCCTCTGGTCTGATGAAACAAAAATATAACTGTTTGGCCATAATGACCATCGTTATGTTTGGAGGAAAAAGGGGGATGCTTGCAAGCCAAAGAACACCATCCCAACCGTGAAGCACGGGGGTGGCAGCATCATGCTGTGGAGGTGCTTTGCTGCAGGAGGGACTGGTGCATTTCACAAAATAGATGTCATCATGAGGAAGGAAAATTATGTGGATATATTGAAGCAACATCTCAAGACATCAGTCAGGAAGGTAAAGCTTGGTCGCAAATTGGTCTTCCAAATGGACAATGACCCCAAGCATACTTCCAAAGTTGTGGCAAAATGGCTTAAGGATAACAAAGTCAAGGTTTTGGAGTGGCCATCACAAAGCCCTGACCTCAATCCTATAGAAAATGTGTGGGCAGAACTGAAAAAGTGTGTGCGAGCAAGGAGGCCTACAAACCTGACTCAGTTACACCAGCTCTGTCAGGAGGAATGGACCAAAATACACCCAACTTATTGTGGGAAGCTTGTGGAAGGCTACTCGAAACGTTTGACCCAAGTTAAACAATTTAAAGGCAATGCTACCAAATACTAATTGAGTGTATGTAAACTTCTGACCCACTGGGAATGTGATGAAAGAAATAAGAGCTGAAATAAATCATTCTCTCTACGATTATTCTGACATTTCACATTCTTAAAATAAAGTGGTGATCCTAACTGACCTAAGACAGGGAATTTTTACTAGGATTAAAATGTCAGGAATTGTGAAAAACTGAGTTTAAATGTTTTTGGCTAAGGTGTATGTAGACATCCGACTTCAACTGTACATCTGTCTTGGACGACAGCGTGCCAACGACTGATGGCATGTAAGAGTGTGTTCATGTGAGGTCGAAGTGAGGAGATCAGATGTGTGGGCGTGGTTGTGCGTGACTGAGCAAGAGTTTGAACATGTGTGTGTACACATCAAAAGGTAGTCTCTAACTAGGAGCTCAGGTTTGAACAAGGTGGTGTAAGGTGTAGGGAGTAACAGGTGTGTGTGTGTGCGTGTGTGTGTGTGTTCTTACGAAACTTAGGTTTGATGAAGGTGACGTGAGTGTGTGTGTGTGTGTGTGTGTGTGTGTGTGTGTGTTAGGTGTGTATGTATGTGGAGCTTAAGGGCTTTAAGGTGATGAGTGGATGTAGGACCAGATGTGTGTGTGTGTGTGTGTGTGTGTGTGTGTGTGTGTGTGTGTGTGTGTGTGTGTGTGTGTGTGTGTGTGTGTGTATCCTTACCACAGGTGAACAGCTCAGGCTTGGTGGAGGTGATGAGCTGGCCCTGCAGGGAGCGGGGGTATGAGCAGCTGGTGTCCTTCACCCCCACGTTGTTGTCTTTGATCCAGTGCAGCAGCCACAGCAGGTTGCAGTCGCACAGCAGGTACGACGTCTGGAACTCCCTGAGGTAAAATGAGCATTACTTTCAGTTTCATTTCCAGTCAAAAGTGATAGTCCCCTGTTCGATCCCCCATTCCATAACTTTCTATGCTGTATCCCTCTTATCTATATCTCCTTCTCATACATCTAAATATGTCAAACTGTTTTTAAAATGATACCCCTCTGCAATTGTTTGTAAACTGAGGGTTAAGGTCTTGGTGGATGGAACCATTTGATTCTTTGTTTTGCTTCCTGGCTGAATGTGTTTGCAGTACCTTGAGTTGCGAACCAAGAAATAAAAGTTACAGATTGCACCTATAGGCATTTCTACAACAGGGTATTTTACTACCCTCTTTAAAGGAGCCCGAATAGAAAACCCACTACACTGCCACAGAGTCATGGAATAGCATTGCGGTGCCTCAACTCTAAAGCATTCTTACAAAGTCTTCAATGACACCAAGCTGTCAAACGTCCCTTGGGCCAGCGATGAAAACATGTTTCCTGAAAGGTTTCTGAAAAGACAAGACGAAGGCTATCAATCATCAATAACAAATCAATCAAGTATGCCAATCTGTCACATCACACAATCAGGACCCAAACACAACCTGTCATTGGCAACTCCACTGATATGTCCAGGAATATCTTAATCCTCACTTTTGCATCGTAGGGAAAAGGACATGGAATAATGTGTTGCAGCTGTGGCACTGAGACCCGTGGGGGGACCCTGGGTAATATGCTAATATCACAGCACCTGGCTGCCACCATTTTCTGGTGTTCTGAGCAGGGCAATTACTATTAGGGTGCTGGAGCCAAATAAATCACTTTCACATTAATGTCCTTGTCAATTACTTATTTTTAGGATGGATAGGGGGAAAAAGCAAATGGTTTTCAAAGAAAAATAACACTATGGATCTGGCGTATTTAAACAAAGTAATAAAGGAAAAATAACTACTACTTACAGTCGAACCAGACTTGTGAGGCCCTTGAATATGTCCACGTTGAGGCAGCCAATGCGGTTGTTGGACAGGTCTCTGTAGAAAGCAAAACAAATGGAGATTCTGGTTATATTCTGTCCTGATTTACTCAAGTCAAACAGCAGCAGAGTTTAAGAAAGGTAATAGGCCATCACAAATTGTACAAACGGCATGAAATTCACGACTAGAGTCAATTGACATCACGTGGTGACTCAGCGAATTCGAATAAATCCACGTTGTAGCTCAACAAATCAAAAAGTGGGGAAAACTGTCAACTCAATTCCCAGACTGGTGTTGTCGTTCGCAGAGACAGGTTGGGGCAGAGGCAGGGATTGAAAAATCCAGGTTTGTCAGTTTTACAACTTTTCAAGGTGATTTGAGACGATGTCTGTGTTCGCCCCGAGGGGGCTTTAACATCAAAGCTGTTAGTAACTCACTATACTAGTTGAGATTAATGTGTTACGATTGATGTCATACACATCAAAGTGTGTCTTTTTCGCCAGGACCTGACACAGTGTGTCTGCCAAACATCAGGCAGCATTATATATCTTTGAAGAAACCATGTTTGGGAAAGGAATTTATTTAGTCAACATTGTGAAAATATGATTTTGATCAACTCAAAGATAGGTCAAACTAGAAGAAATTAGGTAGGAAGGGAGTTCTATTTTAGTTTATATGCAAGCAGTTACAGCTGGATAAAACGCATCTGCAAAACGACTCTAATGTAAACAAATGACTCAAGTGTAACATTGGAATGGTCAGAAGAGGCCTCTCAATACCCTACAAACTATACCCTGCCAACTGCAACCCTAACCCAAGGCCTAATGCCAGGGCAGCATCAGACACTTAAATGCTTAGAATATAAGTGTGGAGAGCATTACGTAAACATCCTGGTGTTGGTCTAATTATTGTTGTGGTTCCTAGGGAGGGTGGCAGCTGGGGAATTTACTGTGTGAGGTGGTTAGTTCCGCCTGGTCTGGAAAAACCTTTCAGGGGCTGCCAAGAAGTCTGCCCGTGTCTGAGGAGGATCACCTAGTGGGGTGGTACTCCCTTAGCTAAAGGTATAAACTCCCACCCTGCCAATACTGCCAAGGCACAGCACTAGACATGGTGCAGTGCTTTGCAGTTGGGAGTGCAGTGTGATGTGAAAGTAGCCCACATAAGTAGAAAACGTACATCTCTCACAAATTACATTGTTGTTGCTAGCATCGTCATAGTCACCTATAATCATAGCAACATCATCCCAAATAAATTCCAACAATATTCTCATATATGACAATTGCAGACTTCTATGTCCTGGCCTTTGTTTTTTATAAAATCCCTCCAGAACTGCATGTCACAGTCACACTGATCACAGTACTTTAATCATGAAACCTGTCCGTGAAGCTTGTAGTCGATCCATGAAAGTAGCAGCAGAGCTCAACATTACAGCAGACCCAGAGCAAGCGGTCTGTTGTGATATGAGCAGATACAAAAATAGACTGGTGTGTAAGTAACAAGGCAGGGTCAATGACTGTTCAGCTGTTGGTGGAATGTAGCTGCGTCTGCTGGGTGGTAAGGCCCTGGAGAGGCCAGTGGGGCAGAGGGAGGAGGGGGTTGTAGCTTGAAGTTGCCCCTAGACGCTGATCTTGGGTCAGTTTTTCATTTCCCCCACTAATGGTTAACGTCAGGATTGGGGGAGGGGAGGCTAATCCTAGATCTGTACATAGGGGAAACTTCACCCCAGAGACACATGAATGGGTTGTATCCAGCAAGAATTTGCTCTGTCACATCATATGCGTCTTATGGCTCTATTGACAACGTATACATGTGACTGATCCCAGATCAGATGTTTGTCCCATGACGTGTCCAAAGCAACCCTCAAACGCTGAGGTCATGTTCTTTGCTTTTTATTTACTTCAGTGGGAGCGACTCAGTTGCAGCTCATATCCGTCAGCGTCCGGCTGGGTTGAAATAGGATATCATTTCCTAACAATGTGCACTGGAATGGACTTTGACCTAACTAAGTTTCGTTTCATTACAAATGACGACAATGAAAGGGGTGAAGTAATGCATTGTAGCATGCATTCAACATGTCTGTTTCTTCAAGAGAACATGTTAAGTCTGACATCCCTCTCCCCTCTCCGACAAGACGGATAAAAGAGGCAAGCAGCCTCGGTTTGGCCAAGTCGCTAGTCTTAAAAACGAGCGAAAATCTAATTAGGCTCTTTGAAGAGAGGAAAGGGACAGATGGAAGAAATTAAAGATTGGCTGAGGTTGAGAGAGAGAGAGAGAGAGAGAGAGAGAGACAGAGAGAGAGAACAATGAGTCTTTATCGGGAGCCTTCGCTACTGACTGCATTAGAAGAGAGGGAGCGTGTATTTTCATGTTCTCTCTGTCAATTAACTCCATCACCCTTTTCCAGAAGCAGAATAGGGCGGGCTGGAGGGTAGGCGCATTGCGTGCCAGCAGTCACCACAGAGCTTCTGTTTACAGCACCAGGCCCAAGTTCAAGACTCATTTTACCTCACCTACTCCTTTTGCAAGTTGAGGAATATGTTGAAGTGTAAGTGATATGTTGGAGACGCAGCCAGAGATGGGAGCAAATGAATGATTTAACTACCACCTGACATATTTCCACTGCCAAACATGTTTCACCTTTATTTAACCAGGTAAGCCATTTGAGAACAAGTTCTCATTTACAACTGCGACCTGGCCAAGATAAAGCAAAGCAGTGCGATAAAAACAACAACAGAGTTACATATGGGGTGAACAAAACAAAGTCAAAAATACAACAGAAAATATATATACAGTGTGTGCAAATGTAGCAAGTTATGGAGGTAAGGCAATAAATAGGCCATAGTGCAAAATAATTACAATTTAGTATTAACACTGGAATGATAGATGTGCAAGAGATGATGTGCAAATAGAGATACTGGGGTGCAAACGAGCAAAATAAATAACAATATGGGGATGAGGTAATTGGGTGGGCTAATTTCAGATGGGCTGTGTACAGGTGCAGTGATCGGTAAGGTGCGCTGACAACTGATGCTTAAAGTTAGTGAGGGAGATAAGAATCTCCAGCTTCAGAGATTTTTGCAGTTTGTTCCAGTCATTGGCAGCAGAGAACTGGAAGGAATGGCGGCCAAAGGAGGTGTTGGCTTTGGGGATGACCAGTGAGATATACCTGCTGGAGCGCATACTACGGGTGGGTGTTGCTATGGTGACCAATGAGCTAAGATAAGGCGGGGATATGCCTAGCAGTGATTTATAGATGACCTGGAGCCAGTGGGTTTGGTGACTAATAACAACAAGAGCGTACAGGTCACAGTGGTGGGTGGTATATGAGGCTTTGGTGACAAACCGGATGGCACTGTGATAGACTACATCCAATTTGCTGAGTAGAGTGTTGGAGGCTATTTTGTAAATGACATCGCCGAAGTCAAGGATCGGTAGGATAGTCCGTTTTACGAGGGCATGTTTGGCAGTATGAGTGAAGGAGTCTTTGTTTGCGAAATAGGAAGCAGATTCTAGATTTAACTTTGGATTGGAGATGCTTAATGTGAGTCTGGAAGGAGAGTTTACAGTCTAACCAGACACCTAGGTATTTGTAGTTGTCCACATACTCTAGGTCAGAACCGCCGAGAGTAGTGATTCTAGTCAGGTGGGCAGGTGCCAGCAGCGTTCGATTGAAAAGCATGCATTTAGTTTTACTAGTGTTTAAGAGCAGTTGGAGGCTACGGAAGGAGTGTTGTATGGCATTGAAGCTCGTTTGGAGGTTTGTTAACACAGTGTCCAATGAAGGGCCAGATGTATACAAAATGGTGTCGTCTGCATAGAGGTGGATCTGAGAGTCACCAGCAGCAAGAGCGACATCATTGATATACACAGAGAAAAGAGTCGGCCTGAGAATTTAACCCTGTGGCACCCCCATAGAGACTGCCATAGGTCCAGACAACAGGCCCTCCGATTTGACACATTGAACTCTATCTGAGAAGTAGTTGGTGAACCAGGCGAGGCAGTGGTGGTTGATAGAGTCGAAAACCTTGGCCAGGTCGATGAAGACGGCTGCACAGTACTGTCTATTATCGATTGCGGTTATAATATCGTTTAGGACCTTGAGCGTGGCTGAGGAGCACCCATGACCAGCTCGGAAACCGGATTGCATAGCGGAGAAGGTACGGTGGGATTCGAAATGGTCAGTGATCTGTTTGTTAACTTGGCTTTCAAAAACTTTCGAAAGGCAGGGCAGGATGGATATAGGTCTGTAACAGTTTGGATCTAGAGTGTCACCCCCTTTGAAGAGGGGGGATGACCGCGGCAGCTTTCTAATCTCTGGGGATCTCAGACGTTACGAAAGAGAGGTTGAACAGGCTAGTAATAGGGGTTGCGACAATTTTGGCGGCTAATTTTAGAAAGAAAGGTTCCAGATTGTCTAGCCCAGATAATTTGTAGGGGTCCAGATGTTGCAGCTCTTTCAGAACATCAGATGTCTGAATTTGTGTGAAGGAGAAGCGGGGGGGGGGCATGGGCAAGTTGCAGCAGAGGGTGCAGAGCTGGTGGCCGGGGTAGTGGTAGCCAGGTGGAAAGCATGGCCAGCCGTAGCAAAATGCTTGTTGAAATTCTCGATTATTGTAGATTTATCGGTGGTGATAGTGTTTCCTAGCCTCAGTGCAGTGGTCAGCTGGGAGGAGGTGCTCTTATTCTCCATGGACTTTACAGTAACTTTTTGGAGTTAGTGCTATAGGATGAACATTTCTGTTTGAAAAAGCTAGCCTTTGCTTTCCTAACTGCTTGTGTATATTGGTTCCTAACTTCCCTGAAAAGTTGCATATCGCGGGAGCTATTCGATGCTAATGCAGTACACCACAGGATGTTTTTGTGCTGGTCAAGGGCAGTCAAGTCTGAGGAGAACCAGGGGCTATATCTGTTCTTAGTTCTGCATTTTTTGAATGGGGCATGCTTATTTAAGATTGAGAGGAAAGCACTTTTAAAGAACAACCAGGCATCCTCTACTGGCGGAATGAGATCGATATCCATCCAGGATACCTGGGCCAGGTCAATTAGGAAGGCCTGCACGCTAAAGTGTTTTAGGGAGTATTTGACAGTGATGAGGGGTGGTCGTTTGACCGCGGACCCGTTACAGACGCAGGCAATAAGGCAGTGATCGCTGAGATTCTGGTTGAAGACAGCAGAGGTGTATTTAGGGGGTAAATTAGTCAGGATGATATCTATGAGGGTGCCCATATAGGAGCATTCAAGATGAAATAGCTGTTGGCTGAATGATTTATAGGTTGGCTGAGAGAAATACAGCTAGCTATAAGTTTAGGGAATATAGTTCTACTGTTGGTTGTAAAATGGTTGAGGCTTGCCAAGGGGAAATGAAGCTCTGTCCAAGCCAAGGAGATGACAACCTTCCTGTCTCACTCACTGCTCCGCACTAGCAGCCAAACTATAGTTTATGTTGGCAAGGACCGGCAGGTATAAGATGATTGCAATACACACACACACTCACACAGGCTCACACACACAAACACTCAGAAACATGCACAGGCACAAACACACTCATACGCTCTCTCTCTCTAACACAGACCCACGCACATACCCATCCATCCAATCCCCTTTCCATGAATGTGTGAAAGTAGATAGGGCCTCATGCAGTCTCAAGTGGTCCCTGGCAAGGGCCCAAGTGGACTGGAGAACTGAATAGAATGTTGCTTGAAGCATTAAAAACACAGAGAATCTCACTGCCGATAGACTGCCGATAGGTACATATCACAGTGGGAGGCCAATGGATTAGCTAGTTTCGATGATCAGTTGCCTGTCTTAGCTGCCGAGTTAGTGCAGTGTCCTTAGCTAGCCAGCTATGTTGTGCTAGCTAACAAATATGCTAACGTTAGCTAAACATTTGGCTATGGGCTGGCACTGGCAGTATGGGATAATGGAGAGTGAATTAAATTGTTTCTTCGTCATCTTGCTAGTTAGTAATCTAGCTGTGGCCATCTGGCTAATATCAATGACTTTTTACAAAATAACAACATTAGCGCAGATAGCTTGAAATCTAGACCATAAGCAATACCCACGGATATACATTGCCAAACAAAGCTTCTGCCACCTTCTGGTTTGGAGTATTTTAACATGTGGCTGACGACTTTGCTGTGTGAACAAACAAGAGATTGACTGCCGGAACTCTGTTCTGAGGTGCTAAGTACTGTTGGCAGGCAAACGTTTGACAATCCTACCAGTGTGTCTGAGCTTTTACAGCAGTCGCTTATATAGACTGGATAGGCTAGACACAGAGAGTTGGTAATTGCCTCTATACCAGAAACAACAGATAGGGCCAAGAGTATTGTCGAAACCTGGCAAATGTTGCAATGTCGGAGCATATACAACAGTGTGTAGGTTTTTTTCTGTATTGAAAATGGGCGTTATGGATGCTGTATAATAAATCTGATGTTAAGCAACAGAGATCGGTTTAGACGTATGTTTAAAACCGTTCAGCCCATGACTCGTCCATCTGCCAAGAAAATGACAAATTTGATTAAAATTAAAATGATTTAATGCTGATGGTAATATTGATAATACTCACAGTCTTTTTAGTGCGAGCAGTCCAAGAAAAGCCCCCGGTTCGATACGGCTGATGATGTTGTTCCGCATGTCCCTGTGAAAGACAAACAGAGGGTAAACCACAAGAAAACTAAACATCAAGTGCACAACAATGAACATCTTGTACGTGTCACGGCATAATGCAATCAACACATATTACGAATACTTGCAGCCAACTTCATCCAAAAATACCATTCCCCAATGAGAAATACATAATATCTTACGCACCTAATAACACACATTAGAAAGGGTCGATTCATATTCTCTCAAGGACTGCTCAAATAAATAGACCTAATGTTGACGTACACTCAGTGGCCAGTTGATTAGGTACACCACCCGTTCAAGAAAATGGGACGCTCCTACAGACAGTGAGTCACGTGGCCGTGGCTTGCTATATAAAGCAGGCAGAAAGGTATCGAGGCATTCAGTTGCTATTCGATTGAATGTTAGAATGGGCAAAACGAGTGACCTAAGCAACTTTGAGTGTGGTACGATCGTCGGTGCCAGGCGAGCTGGATCCGTATCGCAGAAACGGCAACCCTCCTGGGCTTTCACACATGACAATGTCTAGGGTTTAAAGAGAACATTGCGACAAACAAAAACACATCCAGTCAGTGGCAGTCCTGTGGGCGAAAATAGCTCGTTGATGAGAGAGGTTGAAGGAGAATGGCAAAAATCTTGCAAGCTAACAGGCGGGCCACAAACAAACAAATAGCGGCGCAGGACAACAGTGGTCTGCAGAATGACCAATCTGCAGCAACTGCGTGATGCCATTGCGTCAGCATGGACCAACATCCCTGTGGAACATTTCCGACACCTTGTAGAATGCCCTGAAGAATTCAGGCTGTTCTGGAAGCAGAGGGGGGTCCGACCCGGTACTAGATGGGTGTACCTAATAAACTGGCCGGTGAATGTATAAGATCTTTGTACAGTGCATTCGGATAGTATTTAGACCCCTTGACTTTTTCCACATTTTGTTAGGTTACAGCCTTATTCTAAAATTGATTAATGTTTTTCGTCATCAATCTACACATAACAACCCATAATGATAAAGCAAAAACCGTTTTTTAGAAATGTTTGTTTTTGCAAATGTATTAAAAATAAAAAACTGAAATACCACGTTTAACATAAGTATTCAGACCCTTTACTCAGTACTTTGTTGAAGCACCTTTGGCAGCGATTACAGCCTCGAGTCTTCTTGGGTATGACGCTACAAACTTGGCACACCTGTATTTGGGGAGTTTCTCCCATTCTTCTCTGCAGATCCTCTCAAGCTCTGTCAGGTTGGATGGGGAGTGTTGCTGCACAGCTATTTTCAGGTCTCTCCAGAGATGTTCGATCGGGTTCAAGTCCGGGCTCTGGCTGGGCCACTCACAGACATTCAGAGACTTGTCCCGAAGCCACTCCTGCGTTGTCTTGGCTGTGTGCTTAGGGTCGTTGTCCGGTTGGAAGGTGAACCTTCGCCCCAGTCTGAGGTCCTGAGCGCTCTGGAGCAGGTTTTCATCAAGGATCTCTCTGTACTTTGCTCCGTTAATCTTTCCCTCAAACCTGACTAGTCTTCCAGTCCCTGCCGCTGAAAAACATCCCCACAGCATGATGCTGCCACAACTATACTTCACTGTAGGGATGGTGCCAGGTTTCCTCCAGACGTGACCCTTGGCATTCAGGCCAAAGAGTTCAATCTTGGTTTCATCAGACCAGAGAATCTTGTTTCTCATGGTCAAGTCCTTTAGGTGCCTTTTGGCAAACTCCAAGCGAGCTGTCATGTGCCTTTTACCGAGGAGTGGCTTCCGTCTGGCCACTCTACCATAAAGGCCTGATTGATGGAGTGTTGCAGAGATGGTTGTCCTTCTGGAAGGTTCTCCCATCTCCACAGAGGAACTCTGGAGCTCTGTCAGAGTGACCATCGGGTTCTTGGTCACCTCCCTGACCAAGGCCCTTCTCCCCCAATTGCTCAGCTTGGCTGGGCAGCCAGCTCTAGGAAGAGTCTTGGTGGTTCCAAACTTCTTTCATTTAAGAATGATGGAGGACACTGTTCTTGGGGACCTTCAATGCTGCAGAAATGTTTTGGTACCCTTCCCTAGATCTATGCCTCAACACAATCCTGTCTCGGAGCTCTATGGACAGTTCCTTCGACCTCATGGCTTGGTTTTTGCTTTGACATTCACTGTCAACTGTGGGACCTTATATAGACAGGTGTGTGCCTTTCTAAATCATGTCCAATCAATTGAATTTACCGCAGGTGGACTCCAATCAAGTTGTAGAAACATCTCAAGGATGATCAATGGAAACAGGATGCACCTGAGCTAAATTTTGAGTCTCATAGCAAAGGGTCTGAATACTTATGTAAAAAAGGTATCTGTTTTTTATTTGTAATATATTCGCACAATGTTTTTTGCTTTGTCATTATGGGTTATTGTGTGTAGATTGATGAGGAAAAACATTAATTTAATCCATTTGAGAATAAGGCTGTAATGTAAATGTGGATAAAGTCAACAGGTCTGAATATTTTCTGAATGCACTGTACATTCAGAGACCACATAAGGTCAAAGAGACTAAGGCCTACACCCAAGAGACAGTTTTTAGCTACAATTTTAGCAGAATGAATGACTGTAAACTGAAATCCCACTGCCACTCACTCACCCCGTTGGCCCCTGGTGCTTTGGTACTTCTATGGTACTTCTTTACAGAGAGTATAACTGCATGGTCAATTCCCCCATATCCAGTGGGACTCTCACCCACTCAGACACCTGTGGCAGGGGCACAAGACCCCCCCATCAATCAGGGCTCCTCTGCCCAGTCACTGAAAACCGTGGGTCCCCAGGGGCCCCACACACAAAGGGCCCCGCCACGCTTCGTCCTGGGCTGAGTTCAAAAGGCAGCACGGTCACAGATGCCTGCTAGCGCCTAGCGCTCACCTGCGCCGCCACTGCCGAGTCACTCATTACGATCTGTGTTTCAAAAGACCTCGCAGGTCGCCACCTGAGCCCCCACACAAAGGCCGCTGGGTAACTGACTGAGCTGTTTGATGTTGAGGAGCTGTCATCTGGCTGGAGGGGGATTGGAAGGCAGAGCTACACATGGATCATAGGAGCCTAGCTATTGCTTTTGATGTGCATTGGCAAAATTGGCTTTCCTATAGAGGGGTGTTGAAAGAAAAATGGAAAAGAGGGAAGGCCGAAAAAAGAATGATCTTTGAAATCATCAAAATTGGATGAATTGGTGCCTCTAGGGCAATTCAAAAGGGCCGATTGAGGGCCTTTTTATTAAATAATGTGTTTGCTTTCTATAATTGTGTATTGCTTTTAGTGTATTGATGTGAATATTAATGTGTATTATTGATGTGTATAATGTATTATTGATGTGTGTAGTGATGTGTATACAGGGCTCATCTGTGATATAGACCTTGGTCTCAGCATGACTCCCTGTCAAAATAAAGGTTTAATAAAAAAAAAATAACGAGGCACAAATGGAGCACCTTTGACCACCTGTAAGAGGCTAGAAAGGGAGCATCTTTGTACTTGCTTACTGTGCCGGATGGTACTTTTACCCTACTAATAATTTCTCCACAGCCAATTCTGTTCTCCCGTCTAAATACCTTCCAAAAGTTTCACTTTGAAATGCTGCTGTTGCCATCGCCAAAACTAGCTGAGGTCTTTATCCAACTGTTTGATGTTGGTGACCATAGTAAATCAACAGAGGGGAAAAATATCACAAGTGGTAGAATAGCAGATTAACCACAGTCCCGACTGGGGGAGGGTGTTCAACAAGGCAAAAGTTCGGTTCACATTTATTCATGCCTTGATCAGGCTTCATGATGCCAAGGTGGGACCGGTGCCAGCCAAATGACCGGTGTCAAACGTCAGTGGGGGCAGCCCACAGCTTAGCACCAAAGCCAATCCCAATCTACTGAGCCTTTCATTTCCTCAAAGAGTAGTGCTGGAATGCTGTCAAAGGGTGAAACAGTCCACACATTTTTCTGGACTTTCTGTGATTCCAATTCCTAATGTTCGTCCTGTGGTTTTCCTAAACTGACAGCTTTGTGTGATCGGTTCTGTGGCGTCTTGGAAGGGGGAAAGAATGGTCTTTGTTTGGTGGATTACGTTAAGCGAGTCACTGAAAGGTTTTGTTTCTGATCTGTTTTTGTCAGTTGTTTAAGAAGCTGGTTGACCTACATCTTCTACTGATTGACTGTCAAGTTGTCACAGACATGACTAAGATGCAATTTCAGGGGTGGCATCCATGTATTGGAAAATAAAAATCGGACAAATCCAACACTATCACCTTTGTCTCTGCACTCCACTGGCAGAAATATCAGTAAAAGTGCAGAAAATAAAAGCATTTGACGTTTCCTTTTTAGAGAAGCAGAATAACTTGTGGATAACATGTGGGGGGAGTCGGGTAGCGGTGGAGGTAGACCACGTGCAACCTATCCCAACTCCCCCTCAGGTTCCAAAACTGCCGACCACAAACGACCTGGCACATTTCAAACTCCCTTTGCAAGAACACGCTAGGCCTGCTTGCCATACTAAAATAAAAATTACTGGATAATGGAGTCTGAATTCATTTACCTCAGAGTACTTTAGGGGGTTCCAGAATTCTCCTTGTGCTCAGCCTAGATCGAACCTGAGGTTCTGTAGAAGCCTCTGCAAGCATTTTGGAAAGATGTAGAAACACAGCAAAATGCACTGTTCACTATAAGAGCACAGCAGCTACTGACAAACATTATAGGCTTGTCATTTGGATGGTGGAAAATGGCACAAGTAATATTAAAGCCAGATTGTTTCTTTGGCAGGTTTCTAACAAGTATACTCTACCAAATCTGTCACAAAGTTTATTTTCAAGGTGAAAATTGCTGTTACAATCAAGAGAAATTGCTGATGTTGAAAAAAGGTTGTCTGCTGAAACAAAATTATGGATGGTTCCTTGTTAGCAGAACACAAGATCACACTCATTCTCAACTTTGAGAGTTCTCACTCCACCTCAGTCCAGTTAAGTGAGTTAAACAGAAATGTCCCTCACCATACTTTTTTATACTTGTTTAACCTGAGTATATCTTTATCTTATGCAATGTTGATAACCTACAATTACACAATCTTTACAGTTCGCTTACATGCATAACAGACTAGCATTCCTCATATCCTGCCATTCCCCATAGTAATGGTTCCTTTTGAAACTCAAAACCTCTCCAGTCCTTCCAAATAACAAGAGATTATCCCTGCTTCATTCGTAATAATAACCATTCCCTCTGCCTTGACTCTTGTCAGCTTTGGGAGAGAAATACCATGCGAAAGGGGCTAGCTTGGGTGATCATGGGAGTTGATTATTGACTTCAGGAAGCAGAGGAGGGAACATGCCCCGATCCACATAAACGGTACTGCAGTAGAGATAGGGCTGTGGCGGTCATAACATTTTGTCAGCCGGTTATTGTTATGCAAAAGATTGCTGGTCTCATGGTAATTTACCGTTAATTTACATAAATAAGTTTAGCATCTCCAGGCCTGCACACATACAAGCCACTGATGCACACCTTTGGAACATCTACAGTGAGGGAAAAAAGTATTTGATCCCCTGCTGATTTTGTACGTTTGCCCACTGACAAAGAAATGATCAGTCTATAATTTTAATGGTAGGTTTATTTGAACAGTGAGAGACAGAATAACAACAAAGAAATCCAGAAAACGCATGTAAAAAATTTATTTGCATTTTAATGAGGGAAATAAGTATTTGACCCCCTCTCAATCAGAAAGATTTCTGGCTCCCAGGTGTCTTTTATACAGGTAATGAGCTGAGATTAGGTGCACACTCTTAAAGGGAGTGCTCCTAATCTCAGTTTGTTACCTGTATAAAAGACACCTGTCCACAGAAGCAATCAATCAATCAGATTCCAAACTCTCCACCATGGCCAAGACCAAAGAGCTCTCCAAGGATGTCAGGGACAAGATTGTAGACCTACACAAGGCTGGAATGGGCTACAAGACCATCGCCAAGCAGCTTGGTGAGAAGGTGACAACAGTTGATGCGATTATTCGCAAATGGAAGAAACAAAAAATAACTGTCAATCTCCCTCGGCCTGGGGCTCCATGCAAGATCTCACCTCGTGGAGTTGCAATGATCATGAGAACGGTGAGGAATCAGCCCAGAACTACACGGGAGGATCTTGTCAATGATCTCAAGGCAGCTGGGACCATAGTCACCAATAAAACAATTGGTAACACACTACGCCGTGAAGGACTGAAATCCTGCAGCGCCCGCAAGGTCCCCCTGCTCAAGAAAGCACATATACAGGCCCGTCTGAAGTTTGCCAATGAACATCTGAATGATTCAGAGGAGAACTGGGTGAAAGTGTTGTGGTCAGATGAGACCAAAATCGAGCTCTTTGGCATCAACTCAACTCGCCATGTTTGGAGGAGGAGGAATGCTGCCTATGACCCCAAGAACACCATCAAACATGGAGGTGGAAACATTATGCTTTGGGCGTGTTTTTCTGCTAAGGGGACAGGACAACTTCACCGCATCAAAGGGACGATGGACGGGGCCATGTACCATCAAATCTTGGGTGAGAACCTCCTTCCTCAGCCAGGGCATTGAAAATGGGTTGTGGATGGGTATTCCAGCATGACAATGACCCAAAACACAAGGCCAAGGCAACAAAGGAGTGGCTCAAGAAGAAGCACATTAAGGTCCTGGAGTGGCCTAGCCAGTCTCCAGACCTTAATCCCATAGAAAATCTGTGGAGGGAGCTGAAGGTTCGAGTTGCCAAACGTCAGCCTCGAAACCTTAATGACTTGGAGAACATCTGCAAAGAGGAGTGGAACAAAATCCCTCCTGAGATGTGTGCAAACCTGGTGGCCAACTACAAGAAACATCTGACCTCTGTGATTGCCAACAAGGGTTTTGCCACCAAGTACTAAGTCATGTTTTGCAGAGGGGGTCAAATTATTTCCCTCATTAAAATGCTAATCAATTTATAACATTTTTGACATGCGTTTTTCTGGATTTTTTTGTTGTTATTCTGTCTCTCACTGTCTTATGGCTTGGGGGTAAAAGCTGTTTAGAAGACTCTTGGACCTAGACTTGACGCTCCGGTACCGCTTGCCGTGCGGTAGCAGGGAGAACAGTCTATGACTAGGGGGGCTGGAGTCTTTGACCATTTTTAGGACCTGATGCACTGTTGGAGCTAGAAACACAAGCATTTCGCTACACCCGCAATTACATCTGCAAAACATGTGTATGTGACCAATACAATTTGATGGTAGTTAGCAAGTCGGGTACTACAAAGGCATGTCCAGAGTGCATAAAAGGAGATTACCGTGACTCAACCGTCACTTTGAATTTCTGGATAAGAGCGTCTGCTAAATGACGTAAATGTAAATGTACTGCAGTCATGACTCATAATAATAATAGTCACCGCAACAGCCCTAAGTAGAGAGAGTCACACGTTAAGTTCCTCGGCATCCACATCATCGAGGACTTGTTGTGGACCAACAACACCATCAATTGTCAAGAGGGCGCAACAGCATCTCTACTTCCTAAGGCAGCTGAAGAAATTCTGCATGCGGCCCCGGGTCCTGTCCAAATACTACCACTGCACCATCGAGAGCGTCCTGACCGGTTGCATCATGACCTGGTACGGGAACTGCGCCATCCACAACCACAAGGCCCTTCAGCGGGTGGTGAAGACAGTCCAGTACATCACTTGGACCGTGCTCCCACCCATCCAGGACATCTACTGAAAACGGTGCCTGTGGAAGGCACGCAGCATTATCAAGGACCCCACAAACCCCATCCACGAGCTGTTCTCTAGCTTACCGTTGGGCAGATGATATTGGAGCATAAGGTCTGATACCAACAGGCTCAGAGACAGTTTCTATCTACAAGCCATCAGACTGCTGAACACTTGAACTGGACTGACCACCTGCTATAATTCTCCGCACCTTAGCACACACCCACACAGACGTACACATATACACTGAGTGTACAAAACATTAAGAACACCTGCTCTTTCCATGACATAGACTGACCATGTGAACGCTATGATTCCTTATTGATGTCACCTGTTAAATCCACTTCAAATCAGTGTAGATGAAGGGGAGGAGACAGGTTATAGAAAGATTTTAAAGCCTTAAGACAATTGAGACATGGATTGTGTATGTGTGCCATCCAGAAGGTGAATAGGCAAGACAAAATATTTAAGTGCCTTTGAACGTGGTGTGGTAGTAGGTGCCAGGCGCACCGGTTTGAGTCAAGAACTGCAATGCTGCTGGGTTTCACACTCAACAGTTTCCCGTGTGTATCAAGAATGGTCCAACACCCAAAGGACATCCAGCCAATGGCAGGCCAGTGGTCGAAAACGGGTCATTGATTGATAGAGGACAAAGGAAGCTGACACGAATTGTGCAGAGCAAAGACGGGCTACAGTTACTCAATTGACAGTCCAGTACAACTTTGGTGCCCAAAGACCCATAAAAGAATGCACAACTCATCGTACCTTGACACGAATGGGGTATGGCAGCCGACAACCTTACAGAGTTCCACTTCTTTCAGCAAAAAACAAGAAACTGTGGTTGCAGTGGGCTAAGGAACGAAAACACTGGACACTGAAGAATTCTAAAAACCATTGCCTGGCCTGATGAATCCCGGTTCCTGCTGTTTCACGCTGATGGGAGGACTAATGTATGGCGAAAACCACATGCATTCATCACGCCGCGTGTCAACATTGCTGGCTGATGGTGGTGGTGTGATGGTGTGGGGTGGGTTTTCACACATTGGGCCCCTTGATAGAAATGGAGCAATGTTTGAATGCCACTGGATATCTGAACATCATAGCCAATCAGGTGCATCCCTTCATGACAGCAGTTTATCCATCTGCAAATTGATTTTTTTCAGCAGGATAATGCCCCATGCCACATGGCTAGGATTGTCCAGGTATGGTTCCACGAACATGACAGTGAATTCAGCTTACTGCAGTAGCCTGCCCACTCACCAGATCTCAATCCAATTGAGCATCTGTGGGATGCGATGGAACGAGCTATTCGGAGTAGAGATCCACTACCAGCCACCTTGACACAACTGTGGGAAGCATTGGAGTTAACAAGGGACGATGTATGCTATGCATATCCCGTACATATGACTAATAAAACGCATCTTATGCAATGTTGATAACCTACAGTTACACAATCTTACAGTTCTCTTACATGCATAACAGACTAGCATTCCTCATATCCTGCCATTCCCCATAGTAATGGTTCCTTTTGAAAGTCAAAACCTCTCCAGTCCTTCCAAATAACAAGAGATTATCCCTGCTTCATTCGTAATAATAACCATTCCCTCTGCCTTGACTCTGTCAGCTTTGGGAGAGAAATACCGTGCGACAGGGGCTAGCTTGGGTTCATATTACTGTGTATGAAAAAAATAAAAAAAATGTATGCACTGGATAAGAGCGTCTGCTAAATGACTAAAATATTTAAATTCAGTGGACCTCATCTCATGCCAGGACACATTTGGCCCTCACAAAACACTGTTGTTGCCACAGTTACCTTGCGATTTCAAGGCCAGGGCTGGAGAGGGCTAATCAATCCCCCCCCGCCTGCCACACAACCAGCTGAAATCCCAAAACGCACCACTGCACACAGACAGATAGACCGAAGCAGAGGAGAAACCCCCTTTTTGTGGGCTGTGGTCTGAGAAAGGAGGGAGTGTGCGGAGGAAGGCTGGGGGGGGGGGTATCCAAGCGCATCACTGCATGCAAACAGACCAGGGCACAGAATTCTTCTTTTTTTGTAGTCGGAGGAGAGAGGGAGGGAGGGAGAGGGGAGGAGGAGGGAGGGAGGGAGTTGGAAGGCAGAAAAGTGGGGATGCTTCAACATGCAGCCGGGCTGGCATTGTGTGAATCCCTCTGCCGACACCTCTGGCCTTGGCTTGGCTTCATTAGAATGACAAAGCAAAGAGTTTCACTGGATGAGGGGGGGGGGGGGGTTGGTTGAGGAGGAGGGAAAGCACAATGGGAGCTGCTTTCTAAGGTAAATGTGCCACTGGCTACACGCTTCTTCCACCCAGAGAATGAACTCGCTAGCCACAGCGACTGCCCGTATACTAGGCATTAAGATGAAGTGAAGAGCATTAAAAGACTTCCTCTGCGTTGGAGGATCAAAGACGTTTACACTCAGCGTCAGAAAAAGCCCCCGGTTTATCTTACGGCCTTCCACTCCGAAATTCTAACATCTGACCCACTTATAAAAACCAGGAGGAAAGCTCTCCCCAAATCCATAAACAATCTGGGAGCGGATGTCTTATTAATACGGCAAGGGAGTCAGGTGAGATCAGGCATGTGGCTGGTCTAAGCATAACTCCAAGAAATACGGAGTATGACGTGCATTCATTGCAGCGCAGTGATATTCTAAAGCAAATCTATGCCTAGGTACATTCTAGGTAAAACTCTCAACCTTTTATCACTGTGACCCAACATTAGGGGATACGTTTGTTCTACCCAACCTTCAACTGCTTGGCTATGGCTTCCGAACCAATACCAGATGGCTGACTGTGGCCAAAAAAGGCTTCAAGTACCTCCCACGGACAGACTCATGGCCCTTTTAACAAGACCTGGAAAAATTACATGGAAAATATGCCCTTAAAATTCCCCATCGATGCAGTCATCTGTTACCGTAGCCTTGGGTAAAAGCTTGGCTATTAATGGTCTGGTTATTTTATCTGCATGAAGCCATTCCGAAGCGATAAATCACCAGAGGTCCATAACACACGAGCTGAGAGCATTTCCTCGGAATCTCGGGGGAAACAGGGGCGGTGGGATTCCAAACTCCAAAGCCAGACGCTTTGCGCTGTGGCAGGAACGCTGAATTTCGGCAGGCTCATGCCATCGTTCCGAAGCACATTCAATATTGATAGAGCACAGAGTACACCACCTCAATAAATGTCTTTGCTGCCTATTGACAGGGAGGCAGAGAAAGTAGAGCAGGCCTACTCTCCGCTCTCTGCATTGCTCTCCTCTAGCCTTCGCTCTTACTTTCTGCCTCATCTATCTTTCTTTTGCATTCTTTCTCTTGCTCTCTTTCTAACTCTCACTCTAACTCAAAGCAATAGGTCAACTTTCAACTAAGCTAAATTCTACTTCACTAACAGGTATGAATAGCTTATGGAATCATTTTTATTCCCATTAGAATCACTAGATATTCTTCTGACTTCTGAAAAAAACACTTCAAGAAATTCCTGGTGTGTGGAACAAGCTCGGATTGGATTCTGTCGTCATAACTGCAATACAGGACAAGGACCACTGCCTCTAGAAAAGTCTATAATAAATAAAGCACGTCCCCAAGCTTTACTTAAGCAATAAGGCACGAAGGGGTGTGGTATATGGCCAATAAACCACGGCTAAGGGCTGTTTGTCACGGTTTCGGCCGAGGCTGCCTCTCTTCCTTGCTCGGGCAGGCTTCGGCGTTCGTCGTCTCCGGAATACTAGCTGCCACCGTTGCATGTTTCTATGTTCGTTTGCTTTTGTCTGATTGTTGTCACACCTGTTATCATTTAGTGTCATTAGTGTCCTATTTAGTTCTCGTTGTGTTTGTCAGGTGTTGTGTGTGATTGTTTTACTGTCGTGCCGGTAGGCTGGATATTTACTGTTTGCTCGGTTGAGCTAGTTTGCTCCTTAGTTTTGGAGTATTTTGTCGCACCTGTTTGTGCGCTTGTGTTTACGCCTACGTGCGGAGCTTTTGCCTCAGGGCATTTATTTCGTGTTTGTTTTGCTGTGCCTCACTAAAGTCTGTTGGACTAACGTACTGCGTCCTGCGCCTGATTCCACCCACACCCACCTACATCTACCTTGACACTGTTCTTATGCACGACGCAACGTGGAGTGCTTGGATACAGCCCTTAGCCGTGGTATATTGGCCATATACCACAAACCCCCGAGGTGCTTTATTGCTATTATAAACTTGTTACAAACATAATTAGAACAGTAAAAATAAATGTTTTGTCATACCCGTTGTATACAGTCTGTTATAAACCGGGTGGTTCGATCCCTGAATGATGATTGGCTGACAGCCGTGGTATATCAGACCCTATACCACAGGTAGGACAAAACATTTATTTTTAATGATGAAATTACATTGGTAAACAGTTTATAATAGCAATAAGGCACCTCTGGGGTTTGTGGTATATGGCCAATATACCACGGCTAAGGGTTGTGTCCAGGCACACCGCGTTGCATCGTGCATAAGAACAGCCCTTAGCCGTGGTTTATTGGCCATATACCACAAACCCCAGAGGAGCCTTATTGCTTAAATATACCACAGCTTTCAGCCAATCAGCATTCAGGGATTGAACCACCCTGTTTATAATATGGTATATATAGTAAGAGTGATGGAGTTTGTTTAAGACTCACTGAAAGAACGCCGGCACATTCCGGAAGTACTGTCCTACTAAGAGCATCCCATTGTCCGACAATAGTTAACCCTGGAGGCCATACCTATTTTTAACCCTCTCTAGTACCATCCCTCCAGTCCTCAACCACTGACTGGTATTATTAACCTAGGCTAAGTGCTGGATGCCTCCTGATTGTGTGTGACCTGGATGTTCTGTTGGCATGAAGCAAACGTGCATTTCATATGGCCCCTGCTTCTTCTAAATCCACTGGATTGTCATGCAGGATCTCTGTACTGACTGGTTGTCAGTTGCATTCGATGTGCAGTATATATGTGTCTTGTCAAAGAGGATGTGGAGAGCAAAACGTGATTCTAGATATCGATTGACACATTGCAGTGTTATTCCTTTTTTTTGTGGTGGCCACGATTTAAATGCATATAGGGGAAACAGCATGGGATGAAAGCCATAAATGACACTCATTGTTGATTCTGTCATGATCAGAGCTTGTGGGAAACATGAGAATATTATGAAAAATAATAATGCTCACAATCTTTCCAAAGTAGACAGCCCGATGAAGGATCCATTCCTCAATTCCTGAATTTTGTTGTTGCTTAAAATCCTGTGAAGAAAAAACAAAATGTATCGATCACTAAGAGAGTGTCTACATCAATAAGAGGACACCACAAAAGACAACATTTGAACTAGAAATGTACAGCAGCTTTCAGCAGTAAGTAGTATTAGTAGAATTTCAACTAAACTACATTTTGCATACTAAAACTTGCTCATCACCCAACAAGTAGGAGTCTACTATGGAAATGTTTAATTCCATCAACACTGAAAGAAAGCCAAGCTCTAGTAATCCCATCCCATTGTCCCTCAACCATCCATTCATGGAATGCTCTCTAGTGCCAGGAAGAGGAGAGGGGAAAACAACTTTATCTTCTGCCCATCATGTTCTTTCATGATGCTAAATTGGTAGCATGTGTCTCTACAGGGTACAGTTCATCCAGGTAGGCGAGATGCGATAACGTCTGTTGCATACTTTCCGTCAACCCTCTTCCGCTTTGATGTTTAAAGGTATATTAATCTGATCCAAAAATGCGGTGACTCACTTTGAGATTGTTTCCAGAGTGCCACATGAAGTCATTTGATGTAACGTTATACACTTGATCGTAGACACCGGCAGTTCAGGTGACTGGTCTCGAACTTCAATAATGATAGATGCGTTGGAAACCAGGCATTATCGTTTCATAGGGGATAGATCCACAAGTCACTGGTGTTGCTGAATCTAGGTTCAGACTAGTCCAAGTCGGGGCAACAATGACTCAATGAAAGTATTTTTTATTTGTCTGAGAAATTGGATCTCTACATAGTAAGATGCATCACATCACATAAATGGGGGCTTCAGCCAAAAGCATCAAATATTGGCAGAGAAAATGTCCTGTCAGAAGAGCATACATTTTCAGTGTTAGATATCGCATAAGATAAGCAAAGAGCTGTCCAATTTTAACCCCAAAGTACAAATTCTACTTGCCCTGTGCTAGACACCCCAATTCGCACCCTCTCCCCAGAAGGCTTAGTAATTGAATAGTGATGTTTCCTCCTGTGGGGAGAACCAACTGGCTTGTGTTGTGGTCGCCCTATTTCTTTTACTTTCGGGAGGGGATGTGGTGGGTCACACACAACCAGTACCCACAACCCCCAGCCAGATTGGAGTCATTATGGGTGTTGAGGGCTAGCTTTATTACAGGGTTGGCCGGTGAAGACTATCGATATTTTCTCTTCCCTGCTCCCAACCCCTCAGAGAGGAAACACAAACAGTTCCTGTGTTTCACGACTGGCCCTGTGGCCCGTGCATTCTTCTCTGCGTGCTGAAACTCCAGATGTCTGGGCTTGGTGAGGAATGAGACTGCAAAGTCTATCACTGCTCTCGACACATACTGATGATTTAGGCAGAGCCACAGGGGACTCGCACAAAGTGCTTGGGTCGAGAAAATCTCATTTGCATTGAGGAATAACTGGTCTGACCCAGATTTATATAGCCTATGATGCATTATCGTATGGTTTAGGGAGGGATGATTTAAATTCCAGTGTGAATACTAAGTAAAGTACATCAATGGCTTTTTTACAGATGATTATGAGCACAAAGTTGAAAGGAATTCATGCTTTGAATGAATTATGTTTATCTATATATTTGGGGGGGGGGGGGACTTTCTCTGCTGCTCATACCAGGAACATGGCACCGACAGACATGGCAGCGCTGCTTCTAGCTCATAAGCAACTCTGCAGTATTTTGTTTTTTTGTGTGTTATTTCTTAGATTATTAGCCCAGAACGTTTTTTGTGTTATTACATACAGCCACAAGCATTTCGCTACACCCGCAATAACATCTGCTAAATATGTGTATGTGACCAATGACATTTTATTTTATATTGATACATTCATAACTTTAAGTGCACAAGTTCAATATATTTTCTCTCTAAGGACCTGAGTGATATGTAGGCACATGCAGCTCCAATTACAGCTTTGTTTATCCCCAAATATCCATGCTATTTCCATAGAAAACCGCATAATTGGGTTTACACTGTATATTCAGAATTAAAGACAGCACAGCTATATTACAAAACACACACACACTCTTAGGAATTATTCAAGTCTGGTTGGATAAATATGCACTTCCAACCTTGTGACTCTCCAACTGTCAAAATACATCTGTGTAAATCTCTCTCTCTCTCTCTCTCTCTCTCTCTGACTGGTGTGTGACCTCAGTGCGAGGGGAACTGCTTAGCTTGCACTACTGCAAAGAAACCTGTATATAGTTTAACATAAACTACTACCTCTGAACAATGTGTTTATAGTTCTGCTGTCTGAGCACTCATACCATTCACATATTCATTGGGATAAGGGTTCTGCATTGTAGATACATACAGTTGAAGTCGGAAGTTTACATACACCTTAGCCAAATACATTTAAACTCAGTTTTTCAAAATTCCTGACATTTAATCATAGTAAAAATTCCCTGTCTTAGGTCAGTTAGGATCACCACTTAATTATAAGAATGTGAAATGTCAGAATAATAGTAGAGAGAATGAATTATTTCAGCTTTTATTTCTTTCATCACATTCCCAGTGGATCAGAAGTTTACATACACTCAATTAGTATTTGGTAGCATTGCCTTTAAATTGTTTAACTTGGGTCAAACATTTCGGCTATTCTTCCACAAGCTTCCCACAATAAGTTGGGTGAATTTTGGCCCATTCCTCCTGACAGAGCTGGTGTAACTGAGTCAGGTTTGTAGGCCTCCTTGCTCGCACACGCTTTTTCAGTTCTGCCCACAAATGTCCTATAGGATTGAGGTCAGGGCTTTGTGATGGCCACTCCAATACCTTGACTTTGTTGTCCTTAAGCCATTTTGCCACAACTTTGGAAGTATGCTTGGGGTCATTGTCCATTTGGAAGACCCATTTGCGACCAAGCTTTACCTTCCTGACTGATGTCTTGAGATGTTGCTTCAATATATCCACATAATTTTTGTTTTATCAGACCAGAGGACATTTCTCCAAACAACACAATCATTGTCCCCATGTGCAGTTGCAAACCATAGTCTGGCTTTTTTATGGTGGTTTTGGAGCAGTGGCTTCTTCCTTGCTGAGCGGCCTTTCAGGTTATGTCGATATAGGACTCGTTTTACTGTGGATATAGATACTTTTGTACCTGTTTCCTCCAGCATCTTCACAAGGTCATTTGCTGTTGTTCTGGGTTTGATTTGCATTTTTCCCACCAAAGTACGTTAATCTCTAGGAGACAGAACGCGTCTCCTTCCTGTGCGGAATGACAGCTGCGTGGTCCCATGGTGTTTATACTTGCGTACTATTGTTTGTACAGATGAACGTGGTACCATCAGGTGTTTGGAAATTGCTCCCAAGGATGAACCAGACTTGTGGAGGTCTACAATTTGTTTTCTGAGGTCTTGGCTCATTTCTTTTGATTTTCCCAAGATGTCAAGCAAAGAGGCACTGAGTTTGAAGTTAGGCTTTGAAATACATCCACAGGTACACCTCCAATTGACTCAAATGGTGTCAATTAGCCTATCAGAAGCTTCTAAAGCCATGACATCATTTTCTGGAATTTTCCAAGCTGTTAAGGCACAGTCATCTTAGTGTATGTAAACTTCTGACCCACTGGAATTGTGATACAGTGAATGATAAGTGAAATAATCTGTCTGTAAACAATTGTTGGAAAAATGACTTGTGTCATGCTCAAAGTGCTAACCGACTTGCCAAAACTATAGTTTGTTAACAAGAAATTTGTGGAGTGGTTGAAAAATTAGTTTTAATGACTCATTTTACATTGGCGGCAGGTAGCTTAGTGGTTAAGAGCATTGTGCCAGTAACCGAAAGGTCGCTGGTTCTAATCCCCGAGCCGACTAGGTGAAAAATCTGTCGATGTGCCCTTGAGCAAGGCGCTTAACCTTAATTGCTCCTGTAAGTCGCTCTGGATAAGAGCGTCTGCTAAATGACTAATTATATTATATTATTTACATTTTAGTCATTTAGCAGACGCTCTTATCCAGAGCGACTTACAGTTGCATACATTATTTTATTTTTCATACTGGCCCCCCCATGGGAATCGAACCCACAACCCTGGGACTCCAACCTAAGTGTATGTAAACTTCCGACTTCAACTGTAAATCATGCACTGAAGAACCATATCTAGAAAAGGTGGACAATCTTGTGGCAGTCTAGACACCATTGACCAATTCACAATGTGTTTGATCTGCAGAGGGCAAGTGCCTAGAGACAAGTGTCTGCTTCTCAGTTTACGTTTGCGTCTGTGAGCGTCTCTATACGTCTGTGAGCGTCTCTATACGTCTGGGAGCGTCTATATACGTCTGGGAGCGTCTATATACGTCTGGGAGCGTCTATATACGTCTGGGAGCGTCTATATACGTCTGGGAGCGTCTATATGTCTGAGAGGGAATAGGTGTCTGCATTCGGAGTGTCACACTAGAAGCGTACTTAGCATCTGAAATCAGCACCACCTGTAGGTTGTCTCCGTCTCCCATTTGACTAATAGCTTCCTGAGTGTCTGCCCTGTTAAATTCCTCAGGGCTCAGGGGCAGAGGAGGGGAACCACCCTTATCTTGATGCAAAGATAAAACCGCCTTGAGCAAGAGCCAGGAACAAAGAGCAGTGGGATCCACACAAATCTCACGTAATATGCACTAATGTACTAGGGACTGAAAATCACAAGAATTGTAGCCTATAATCACACAAACTTTGACATCAAACCCAACCATCTCCATTGTTTGACCAACATTTCACCAAACCCATTGTGATAATTCTGTTCTTTGCGCGCTCTTGGAGTGAAGCAAAGAATTCAAAGACAAAAACACAATCTATATTACAGTTATTCTTTCCCAGAAGGGGCCTCTCAGTCTTGAAGCTAGGTTTGCACTCTTTTTGCATGAGAAAATCCAGCCTTTGAATTGCACCAGCCTCAGGTTAAAGCACAAAGTTAACCAGGGATTGAGTAAAAAAGCCAGCCACTATACAACCCCCTCAAAGGCAGTAGGCAAGAAAAGTCAACTGGTGCTCTCTCAACACTTTAGAGCCATAACCCTTTAGAAACACAGGGGTAAGAAGTTTCTGACTGCAGTTGAGCTCATAAAACCCCTCCTAAAGTGACTCTCATACTACCTTCCCATAGGATTTATGGTATTTTGCCTGTAAAAAATAAAATAAAATAAATTGGGCAATGTTTATTTGACCCCCTTACAAAACATTTTTACCACATTCTTGCCTGCATACACCTTGTTATACCTCTAGTGCACATGCCATCATCGAGTGGTAGTAGTGGTGTGCAGATGTGGGTGGGTGTCCACTTTAATAAATCATTTTACATTTTAGTCATTTAGCAGACGCTCTTATCCAGAGCGACTTACAGTTAGTGAGTGCATACATTTTTCATACTGGCCCCCCGTGGGAATCGAACCCACAACCCTGGCGTTGCAAGCGCCATGCTCTACCAACTGAGCTACACGGGGCACTAAATCCATTGAATATACACCGTCAAAAACAAACCCATTATTAATTTGTCTAGGCAGGTCCTAAGAAACATAAGACTAATAAAAAGTATTTTCAAAACAATAGAATGGCATAGAGTTGAATTATGTTACGTCCAAATGAATGAAATCAATTGTTAATTATTTTGTTCATTAAACAGACAAGACACCCCTACCCCGATCACGGTCAACACACATATTTTGTAGTAAGAATATAACAGAATAAAATACAAATAATATTTTTCCCACACAACTTGTGTCATGGGAACGTGTGGAACCGCTGTCATATACAAAAATGTTTTAAAATGTATTTTAAAACAGAGCCCAAGCCCATGCTTTTCGTCTCTTTCCTACCCTCACTCCACTTTGCTAGGGAGCAGGTGTAGGGTCTTACATTGAGAGTATCTTCATCATGATACCGATAGAAAATAATAGCAATCCTATTTTCAAAAGCATGTGAGTCTCCTGTTCATATTTCACAACCTCCGCTGGCTTTTGGAGTTGCCTTTACGCTATCGAGCTAAATAATAGGCTATATTATTGCATGCTAAATGTTTCTGATCAGTGATAGATGAGCAAACGAATAGATGAGCTATAACCAATTAACCAAATAGAAACCAATTAACCAAATAGCCTATACAGATAGAGATTCAGTGAAACAAAGTCACATTGATTGAGTCAAATCAGTGAAGTCACAGGCTTTTGGTCAGGAGTAGGCCTACGCTACTAAGCCACTGCGAGTGAAGAGCAAAATAATCCACTTGTTAAACTACATTTTGGCAAATGGTTTTCATAAATGAGCCAACTAGACAAGATGACCATGAGCAGCTTCACCTCAACGTACAGTAGCTAACATTTCCCTAGCCTAATTATAGCCTAACCAATATCCAAACGGAGATTCAATGAAAACCAAAAGCTGACATTGATTGACTTGTCAAGACGAGTCCCCACGCTTGTGTCAAAGCAGCGCGATGGCGTTGACCACACGCGGGTAGGCTATTGCTTAGAACGTATTACTACGATTGGATGACTTTGGGAGTTTCAGTAAGCAACTATTTGATACATGCCTTCAATTGCATTAACCTACTTTAGTCCAATATTTTCATCATTCAGTGATATTTATTCCCGCAGTAATTCTTTATGGATCCATCAAGTAGTGGTTAAGAAAACAGTGCATGCTTGGTTTAGCAACCATCAAGAGTTTAAGAGCATAGTGCGTGCCGATGGCGCCTCAGCATTACAGCTACGTTTCACACTAAGCCGTAGGCAGAAGTTTACCGAAATGATTACTAGGTCTTAGGCAGAAATAATTGTTTCGGCTTTGATACTGGCAATACCTTTCAGAAAGGAAAAGGTGGAAAATAGTTGGCGGTATGGTAAAGTTGGCGGAAAAACGTCTTTATGCGGCAGGTAGCTTAGTGGTTAAGAGCGTCGTGCCAGTGACTGAAAGGTCGCTGGTTCTAATTCCAGAGCAGACTAGGTGAAAAATCTGTCCATGTGTCCTTGAGCAAGGCACTTAACCCTAATTGCTCCTGTAAGTCGCTCTGGATAAGAGCGTCTGCTAAATGACTAAAAAATTGTTTTTAAATTATGAAAGGGATATCAGGGTTCTGCTGGTGAAACAAAAGGAGGGGTCAATAGCTGTAGTGTTGCTGAGCTTCAGAGGAGCCTTACTTTTAGCTGTCAATATTTTTATTACCAAGGGAAAACTATGAACATTCATCAAAAGTAACTGATTCCGATATAAGGGCAGGCACTTGTAAGGCTCAATTGTAGCTTGGGAGACCATAAGGATACTATCCGAAATTTGCCATTGATTAGTCCTTAATTAAGTTATGACCTGGAAGTGTCTTCTGCAAAATTAAGGCCTGACCACTGTCTCCCATTTGGAAGACAAAGGCCTCGTCTTTGAAATAATTAACTTTTGTTAGGCCAGAGCTGAAAAGGACACTTTCATTCAAGCACCAAATATGCTGTGTCACTCTCCCGCAGTTACAAGCCTGAAAATATCCCCTTTCAATTCCAGTAAGCCACAGTATAAGAACGTATAGAAAATGGTCACCTTACAGCTCCTTTAGGTATACACGGTGCCAACAACCAATTACAGGGCTGACAGCCAAATGAATAGAAACCAAGAACTGGGGCCTTCCAGATACACAAACAGGAAGGCCCATGTCCTTGTACGGATATTCAGATGCACATACATAAGACAAATGTATAGCCTATGCTTGAATCAACTTGAGGCCCAAGTATGGTCTGGCAAACCAAATGCTTAACAGGTCTGAGTGCGTAATGAGAGGTTGTGAGCTGCTTGGCTGTGAACACTCAACCGCCGGTCCCTGAATGACCTTTGGGATTTTGTTATCTTCTCCAAACATCACACAACAGCAAAGGGAAACACGGAGAGCGTTGCTTTAACCCAAATGCTTGCCTGAAAAGCAAAACAAACCTTTCTCGCCACCGGACATGCATGACAGCGTACTCCTGGGTACTAGTTCCACAAGCACTTCAAAGGCTGCCGGCCTGCCAACTTCGCTTTTTAGGAGGAGCATGTAGGAGCAGCTAAATAAATCAAACGAACGACAGAAGGATTCTACCTTCAGATTCCACAGCAATTTTAAATTCAGCACACTCAAATTGAAAAGACAATATCAAATATAGAGGTAAGAGAATGTGCATCTGTAGGTCTATAAATTACTTGTCTTTGCTAGGGCCGGGACGATACCAGTATTGTGATACTTGTTAGTATCGTGGCAAGGAAACAAAACACAAAGTGGATTTAACTTCTTTAGGAAAGCAGCCCTACTGTTGGAAACGAACATGTTGTCATCCAGAGTCACATTTATTTATTTTCCGACCAAGGTTTGGTCTCCTTCGTGTTTTCATTTTTGACCTGAAAATAAATATTGCGATACTGGTATCGTCACAGCCCTTGTCTTTGTAATATGTTTTACATTTAACATTTTAATATAAATGTATTTTACAGCAAGTCTCAAGTCAAACTATTCTGAGTAAGCTACTCCATTCTAAAAACATGGTCCAATGGCATTCACTGCAGGTTAAGTCTTCAGGAAACTGGACGCATACCGGGCCGTCCCCCATGATTCCCTGCTGCGAACCGTGCAATTACTGCTGTTGACTGTGTTGTCAAATTACACTGGCTTTTCCTGCAGTACGAGGAAATCCCTGTCTCTTCCTGACATCAATCCCACACTCCTTGGTGGAGGTGGACTCTGGGCTACAAGCATTTCACTACACCCGCAATAACATCTGCTAAAGACGCGTATGTAACAAATACAATTTGAGTTGATAGTCAAGCACAGGTGCCTGCTAGGAAGGATCCCATTGACACTCAACAAGTCTCTCGAAGAAATATGAGCTCTACTGTTGCTGTACACCAAGAACAGCAGGCTTATATATGGTTCCACGCTGTGCTAATATAGGCTGAAACATGAACAGGTTCAGCCTAACACACATGCAGTTGCACATAAACTCAGCAAAAAAAGAAACGTCCCTTTTTCAGGACCTTGTCTTTCAAAGATAATTTGTAAAAATCCAAATAACTTCACAGATCCTCATTGTAAAGGGTTTAAACACGGTTTCCCATGCTTGTTCAATGAACCATAAACAATTAATGAACATGCACCTGTGGAACGGTCGTTAAGACACTAACAGCTTACAGACGGTAGGCAACTAAGGTCACAGTTATGAAAACTTAGGACACTAAAGAGGCCTTTCTACTGACTCTGAAAAAGACCAAAGGAAAGATGCCCAGGGTCCCTGCTCATCTGCATGAACATGCCTTAGGCATGCCGCAAGGAGGCATGAGGACTGCAAATGTGGCCTCCTGTGAGACGCCTAAGACAGCGCTACAGGGAGACAGGACGGACAGCTGATCGTCCTCACAGTGGCAGACCACGTGTAACAACACCTGCACAGGATCGGTACATCCGAACATCACACCTGCGGGACAGGTACAGGATGGCAACAACAACTTCCCAAGTTACACCAGGAACGTACAATCCATCCATCAGTGCTCAGACTGTCCGCAATAGGCTGAAAGAGGCTGGACTGAGGGCTTGTAGGCCTGTTGTAAGGCAGGTCCTCACCAGACATCACCGGCAACAACGTCGCCTATGGGCACAAACCCACCGTCGCTGGACCACTGTTGGTTAAGGGCTGTAAGTAAGCATTTCACTGTAATGTCTGCACCTGTTGTATTCGGCGCATGTGACCAATAAAATTTGATTTGATTTGATTTGATTTGGACCAGACAGGACTGGCAAAAAGTGCTCTTCATTGACGAGTCGCGGTTTTGTCTCACCAGGGTTGATGGTCGGATTCGCATTTATCGTCGAAGGAATGAGCGTTACACCGAGGCATGTACTCTGGAGAGGGATCGATTTGGAGGTGGAGGGTCCGTCATGGTCTGGGGCGGTGTGTCACGGCATCATCGGACTGAGCTTGTTGTCATTGCAGGCAATCTCAACGCTGTGCGTTACAGGGAAGACATCCACCTCCCTCATGTGGTACCCTTCCTGCAGGCTCATCCTGACATGACCCTCCAGCATGACAATGCCACCAGCCATACTGCTTGTTCTGTGCGTGATTTCCTGCAAGACAAGAATGTCAGTGTTCTGCCATGGCCAGCGAAGAGCCCGGATCTCAATCCCATTGAGCACGTCTGGGACCTGTTGGATCGGAGGGAGAGGGCTAGGGCCATTCCCCCCAGAAATGTCCAGGAATTGCAGGTGCCTTGGTGGAAGAGTGGGGTAACATCTCACAGCAAGAACTGGCAAATCTGGAGCAGTCCATGAGGAGGAGATGCACTGCAGTACTTAATGCAGCTGGTGGCCACACCAGATACTGACTGTTACTTTTGATTTGGACAGGGACACATTATTCCATTTCTGTTAGTTACATGTCTGTGGAACTTGTTCAGTTTATGTCTCAGTTGTTGAATCTTGTTATGTTCATACAAATATTTACAAATGTTAAGTTTGCTGAAAATAAACGCAGTTGACAGTTTTTTTTTGCTGAGTTTATATTCGCTCTTCACACGACACACATGAAATTAGCCCACTGTGCGGAAGAAAGGGGCAAAGGTTATAAACGCAGCAGGCTTGATTTTGCACAACTCTTTTCTGACAGAGCTGTTTGTGTCAACGCATTTGTCATTTCCTCTCGGATTACTTTGGCATGCAGTATCAGTTGGAGTGCAAATGCTGGGAATACAGCACTCATCCTTTCTCGACAGAGAGGCATTCAGCAGCCTGAACCCAGAGAGAGCCACGCTGGAGAACTGGATGCATTCCACAACAGGGTCGCCAAATACACTCCCTATAAGCACAAAGGAGCTTGACTTTTAAGCCAATCAAACTCTTCCAACCATTTCAATTTCAAACGATGGCCAATTGTAACATTGTTCTAAATTGGAGTGATTAGTTACACTGACCAAAATGTCTACAAGATTTTTGTTGATGATTGAAGAAAATGTCCAACTTGTCTTAGTTACTTTGTTTCATTCAGAGAACTGCTCAGTTTCAATTCAGACAAGAAACAGGAAGTGTGTGGGTCAAAGAGAGGGAAGGTCGATTATGATTACTGGGCTCTAATTACACAAGTTGAATCACTGCATCGGACCAAGTCTTTAATTTGCAGAGAAGCAGGCGTGTCAATAGACTATTTCAAATCTCCCAAATAACAAGTCTGGAAAGGGAACCCATGGCAACGATGCACCAAATCAACACATTTAGAACATGTTATGATTGTTTAGCAGACCCCAGACCTGTGGTTTAGGAGTTAAGGCTGGATAAGATTGCGTCAACTCTGTCCAGAAACGTCCATTATCTTCACAAGCCAGAGGTAACTCTAGATAAATAAACGATTGGCCTGAGATAATGGTGGTGATCTAACACTAAAACCAACAAACATTTATTTACCCACAATGGTGAGTCTGTCATAGGACATCTTGACATAGTAAATTCACTGGGGAAAAGTTGAAAAGTCCACAAAACAATCATTTTCTGGGGTGTGCTCAACCAGAAGTTAAAGAACTATCTTGTTGGTAGTCAATTGATCAACAAACAGAATACTATCCAAATGTTTTAGATTAAGGTTGGATTTCCTTACAATATCAACTTTGTTTCCGGCGCTTTCTCTCCTCACAACTTTAGCTTTTGGGGCCAGGAGGGCAGAGTGAACTTGTTGCTCTCACAGAGCAAAAAGGGCTGGGACCTACAGTGTCCATGTAGGGGGAAGTGATTGATTTTCAGGGTCAGGGAAGGTCGAGCAGAACAGCAGGGACCATGCCTGTGATCGGGCCAGTCCAGGCCCACTGTGTCTAGACTAGAGCTGGGAATTGCCAGGGACCTCATGATACGATATTATCAAGACACTCGATTCTCACAATTCTACACTATATGTATTGCTGTTCGATACTGTGATTTTATTGCGATTCAATGTTCGAAACATATTGCTCACCATATTTCTGCTGCAGAGGGACAAGAAAGAGCCATAAGAAAAATAATTTTGATCAGTCATGGAAATAAAAGTGCTGAAAACAAATTGGCTCCCTATTTTAAAAGAAGATGGAGAACAAGCTATAAAGGAAAAATACTGGAGTTTTGGTGCAGGTACAGCCAACTAGCGCAAAAATTATATTGTGATATTGTCAAAACTATACATCGTCTAAAATAATATCCTGATATGTAACTATATCGATTTTTCACTAGTCCAGACCGCTGTCAACCCTTCGGCAGGACACCGAGAGAGGTTGTAAACCAGCCCCTAGACCACCACATCTCCGGGAGAGGCCTGACGATTTTACAGGCCGTAAATAAACACCACCCAAATGTAGCGGTTAAAAGGAGAGCTCAGTTTCATGGTCACTCATTTGGACAGAGTTGCAGCGAGTCTATTTGACGAAGACCTTGAAACCCTGAAGACCTACCCACATTATTCCTGAAATCTGTTTACAAAAACATTAAGAGACCCATGGGAAGTTTAGTGGGAAACCCATAGGAATGCCTGAGAACTTAATTATCCCTCTTGGTCTGCGGTGGCCATCTTTCAGACCTTAAATCATGGAGCTTGGTTCAATGCTCAAGACATGAGGAATATGTTTCCCTTCCCAATCAATCACTGTCGGGCAGAACAAAATGATGGCCCTCCAAGCGGTTCAGCCTATTTTAACGCATACAGAAATATCACATACCATGACGGAGGTAATAATATCTCAATCAGTCGCTTACTTAACCAACGTCAGGCCAAGTGAAAGTAGCTAAATAATCCTTGAGGAAAGACAAGCTTCTTTGGAAGAACTTAAAAAGTATGCTGGAAAAGCAACTGTCTATGCACAAGGCCTACTTTTAACAAATTCCACAGAAAATTTTACAAAAACACATTTACTTGAAGAATGAAGAACAGTGCGGATACAAAGTTTGGTAACAGATTGACGGTTTGTGCTGTTTCCATCTTATAGGCCATTCCAAGGCAATTGTAGAGTACTGGTGTAAGGAACTGATGTTCTTGGCTAGTGTAGACTCAAAAACACTGCTTCAGTCTTGTCTCCATCGGGGTGACTGCATGTGCAATAGGCTGCGGTGGTTTAAATGGTATGCACAGTGTGGTTGCATTATACAAACAGCTGCATGCATCGCATATGTTGTGGCAATGACATGAAATACAAAACTGTTACCAACCACACATTAGATGCCTTCAACAATAACTCTCACTGCATGTCTGCTTAGCCCAGGGGCGGACTGGCCATCTGGCAATACGGGCTTAAGGTATCAGCATGCTTCAGTTCGGCTGAAGTACTAGCATACTCCGGTAAAAGACCTTCGCTTGAAAAAGGAGAAAAAAGCGTCAATAGTGCTGTTTGTCCATTTAGAATTAATCTAAGATAACTCAAGAAATCTGTCATTAATTTTAACGTTTTTCACGAGATCTTAGTTGCGCAATTTTGCATCTGACTAAGATGTTTGGTGCAGTGCTTCTCAAGTGAAATGTTTTGCATGAGGACGAGTCATCTCTCATTAAATGACAACAGGCAATTCATTGAAGAAGCCCTACTGTTGACCACTTCGGCTACCGGCTTCGGATGCCTCGAGAAAAAAATGTGTGCCAGAACAGCCTAAATAACCCCATGCCTAAGTCCAAAACGAACAAAAACGTTTAAAAAATGGCTATATAAACACCCTTTGGATGCCATACAATTATATACTACATTTACAATTATGAAAAGGTATTTTGGTCTAAGACATTTTCATCATACAGGACTAGATTAGTGTGACATGACAATGACATCTGTTACATACGGTTTATATGTAAAGGATACTATTAGTGTATGCAGCTGACAAGGGACGGGTGTGGAGGTGACAACACAGCTACAAATAGTGACCTCTGCATCTTTACGTCATTTAGCAGACGCTCTTATCCAGAGCGACTTACAATTAGTGAGTGCATACATTTTTTTTTAAATACTGGTCCCCCGTGGGAAACGAACCCACAACCCTGGCGTTGCGAACGCCATGCTCTACCAACTGAGCTACACGGGACTACACAAGTCCTTTGTTATGGACATGGTAACTATATTTGAGCTGTAATGTACAGTATATGTATGTCAGTAGTTGAAATCATCAGCAGATAGTGATTAACCCCAACAAGGTCAGACTAGAACCAACAATATATAGTTGGCTTTAGCCTATTGGAAGAATTATGCATGACCTCAGTTAGACCCTCACTTATCAATAGTCATACGTAAAAATACAAATAAATATTGTGTTAGCCTGAAAGTTGAATAGGTTTCTCAATACACAGGCCCAACAGACAATAAATTGCAGGTAATAAGCAAGGCAAATATTTGGCAGCATGGTTCTTTCTGTGTGCCCAAGCTGTTCCAAACAAGGGGACAGCATCGTCATTATTTTGTTGTTGCCAAACAGGCCTATTGATTTATACTTACAAAGTGACTGTTCTGTTGGGAAAGGAGTCCTGGGGTAACACCTGATGGAGTTCCATATTGCTGCAGACCACTTTCCTATCCGCCGTGGCCACCGACGGTGTGCTTTTCCCTGCGCTTTTTGAACGTTCGTCATATGATTTACAGTCAGATGATACCGCAGAGCCATTGCCTCCGAGTAGCAAAACAAATAACAATTGCAACAAATCAACTGCACATACCCTCATTTTCAAAATATATTCCAAGATAATTAGGCTACTGTAGCATTGGAAAGAAAATAATATATTAATATCAAGTAGCGCAGAAGGCTGGGATTTGTGTGTGTACTATAAAATGGCCTGGCTCTTTCTGTAAATAGGGTAAGCCAAAACGTCCCTTAGAATACCCGGACAGTTTTAGTCATGTTGCAAACATCTTGTCCACTATAATGTGGATTTGGATTTCCTTCTCCATTTCTTGCAAAGGTTTCGATTAATGTGTTCGGCGTCAATCAATCCGAGAGAGGGTCTGTACATCCTTTGTTTGCCAAACAACACGATTTATAATTCCATTTCGTCATAAAGTCTTTGCAGCCTTACGAAAAAAAGATAAAACAACTGTTCACTTGTAATTGTAACGATATTTCTGGGTTACACAATGTAACTTCAACGATTGAGAAAATGTGTTCTTTGTTGCCAATAGCGCGGATCTAATTGAGAATTTGCCTACTCCACCAAGAGACAGCTGCAGTCATCCCAAGATAACACACTCTAATTTCAGGAAATTTGATCACGCCTTAGCTTTAAAAACGTTCTCCTTAAGATAACTGATCCCGAGAGACGTAGACTGGGACACTTAAACAGCATTACAACTAACTAAAACAGCTGTAAGCAACTTTTCACTTTAGTGGCGCCCATCGACTCCTGTTGTTGGTGCAAAAGGAAATCATGGGACATCTCCTAAAAAAACGAAAGCAAGAAACATAATCCCATTCCGAGTTAGTCAGTAATCTTGTGTTTAAATCTGAGTTAAAGTGGGTCCCTTCCAAGTTTGAGTAAATATCCAGAATTGCTGTCCTTGACTTTCAATTGGAGTGACCACGTCTCCCTCTCTCTGAAAGTACTCCTTGGCTTTCTTTCCATTGAGAACTCTTCTCCCACAGTCCTGCCCCGGGCTCCATGTTGCAATTCCACCCACTGACGTCACTCTATAAAGACCGCCTCTTTCTCCGATTCTATCTGAGCAGGTTTACCTTTGATCTACCGTTAATACAAATAAGTAAGACAATACTGTCTAGAAAAAGCATAATGTTGCACTTACATCAGCAGTTATACTTCAAACGACGCCTCTCCATACAGTTGATAGGTTGGCTATTTGTTTTACATTTCATGGAAAATATTGTCTTATGAATTGCCTAGAATTTTTTTGTGAAAAATATCATCCAGGATTGGTCATTGAACTTTTGAGCATTCCTGAGACCAAACAAACTTGTTGATTTGGATATGTAGCCCATTTATTATTTACATACTGTTGTCTACCAGATTTGTTGGCAGATGACTTGGATAAAATACATTTGGTAACACTTTACATACTATACTAGTAATACTGCAATAAATACAGTAACAACATTGTTACAGCATAAATAAATAAAAATGTAACAATATAACAATACTACATTGTTGTTACTAGTGTAATAATAGCATAACTACACATATCTACCTAGCTACACATGTCTACTTTGATAACAAGGTGGCCAAGAAAATTAAACAATTATTTCCTTTTCAAATGTAATAAAAGTAGGACTTTGCAATGCACCCCTTCTCTCTTTTAGTGCATCCAGCATTGTATCTCCTCTCTTTCTGGGTGCCTTCACACAAAGCCCTCTTTTCACTTCTCAAACAAGTTCAGGCTAGCTTTGTAATGGGCAATCGCCATGAAAAGCCAGTCAGTCAGACAGGAAGAGACCATACAATAATTCACTTATGCAGTACTACAATACCGTTGTATAACACTCATTACATTTTAC